TCAGACTGACTCCAATATTCATTATGTTTCTATTAAAGTAAATTAAAGCACAAATTCAGTTAACACTTTGCAGTCACACAGCCAGAAGTACAAAATACCCTATCTGGTCACCCAGCCAGGAGAGAGACTACAATGGACTTATCAGGCCTGGCGCTGAACTGCACCAATGATAGTACATAACAAGATAGTTCACTCTGCTCTATGAGCCAATCAAATAAGCGTCCTCAAAATCAGGTGGCGCCCTCTTCGAAAAAGCGCAACCTTTGCGAACAGAGTGACCCTACTTGTGTGAAAAAAATCAAAGTGAAACTAACAAGCTTTTGACTAAATTAGAATACAAATTTCAGAAGAAAGCTTTTTTAAATAGTTACGTTGACAAAAAACCTCTTCCGGTGGAAGAGGCGAAAGAGGCGACTGTTTTCTTTGTTTAACTTTGACTTTTGAATGAGAGGCGAGAGGTCATTAAAATAAAAAAGACCTAAAACTCCGCACTGAACAAACCGCAACAGCTGATGAACAGCAGTCGATCTGCTAACGCAACGGGGTGCTATTCCTATTCTTCTTCTGGAGAAATGAAAGAGAGCTTCAAAACAAAGACTGCAGGGTCATCTGAATAAATGAGTAGACTTTCGCGGACACTTATTTGGCTGAGTGAACAATCTTGTTATGTATTATCTATGACAGTGCCAGGTGACTGGAAAGGATAATTTTCAACAGCGTATTATTGCGCCAGATGACCGCAAAGTGTTAAGGTGCTGTCCTAGTCGATTTCTTACTTAAAAATTGAAAAGTCCCAAAAGCGAAACAAGAAGACAAAACAATTCAGAAACATGAGCAATCAGGAAGACAGAGTAAATTATCCTCCAACATTATGTTAAAAAGAATGGTGATTGCTCCTGTATTTTGTATTTGGGGTCATCCTTGTCATATGTAAAGGCTTTGAGCTTGCACCGGAAAAAAAAATATTTTCAGTTAAATTTACAACTCCAACAACAGGACCATGCACATATATATATATATATATCTCAGGAAATGTACCTTACCTAATTTTCGTCAGATCATGCATCTACACAACTGTACTTGGAAATCAGCAGAGATGAAATATGTGACAGTTGATAAAGGTAAACGTTGGACGGGATGTAATGTTGTACATTCAAAAGTAGGACAGACATAGTACAAAGACTGCCTCAATGAAACAAATAAGCTGACCATGGAAACTGTTGCAAAATCATGTAAGCATTTAGGGGAAAACATTACTATTAATAAGCATTTTTTTTTTTACATTTGGCTCAAACAATTAAGTTCATTTAAACAAAATAGCAGTTGTGAGTAACTCTATATATATACATATTATGTTCCTCAATCTGACTTTGACAGAAGTAATATTCAACATATTATCTTTGGACTGGACAATACCTCCTATTTTTTCCCCAATGTACAATCCCTAAAATAAAAAAAAGTGTGACACTGAGTAATTGCAAAACTTTTGAATGAGTTTAACACTTACAGTATCGAAGGCTCATATAGTGAAAAACCCTTGTGTACTGCACCAGTTTAGAACACTGAGGCCGTTGTAGAAGTTTTTTTAAAATTAGAAAAACCTTGGCAGCCCAAGAAACACAATTTAAAAATTCAGCGAGGTTCATCAATCATTCAGCTATCATATAGAGTGATTTCCTTTGGTATTTACTTCAGGGCAGTGCGTCCATTCGTCGTTAAATTATGTGTAGTGCACCTGGTTGCGTCAGCGATTAAGTAGTGAGCACATACTATGGCCTGGCAACTGCGACGATACTGTAGTAAGTGTTAAACATCCTCCGAGACATAAATGGGTAATTTGGAAAACCTGGAGCTGAATTCATGTGAACCAGTAAAAAAGGGGAAAAAAAAGAAAACAAAATACAGGCAAACTAAAATTTGGAAGTACGCAGGTAAATCTCAGTAGAGATGTTTCTGTAGGTTTTCCTTATCTAGAGAAGAGCTAGGTGAGCCATACGCAGGTCAGGAATTGATCAGTTTATTACCACTATCCTACTGGGAGGAACATCCCTTTACAATCACAGTTTAACTTCAGAGAGAAAAGGTACATATGTAACAAATACGAATATGACTGAAGCCGTTACTTTCTCACTTTTCAAATAGGCCTACAGGTCAGGAATGATTATGCGTAGTTACTTAAAAAACAAAATACAACAGCAAAAACAAAATTTCAAAATATGTACAAAACAGCTTCCAAGTCACCTCTATGGTTACAATATAAGGGGAAAAAAGGGCTGCAAAGGACGGATTCAAAATAATACACAAACTGATCTTGCAACATATTATATCAAAGTATTACAAGAAAATTAAGAGATTCTGTTAGATAAATTGCCTTGAGGAGAAGGATGCACACTTCTACAATAACATAATTCTAGCCTGATTTCTGTGACAAGGGATACCAGAGGACTATTCAAAACCTAAGAGACTGCAAGTAAAATATATGTTTAGAGACACAACAGTTAAATGAGGTGGACATAAACAGTCACTAAAGTTCAATAGCTTGGAATTAAAATTTTGCTACAAAAAAGACTGCACCCCTAGGACCCTTAAAAAAACATCAGAAGTGTGTTATGGGAGCAACCTGGTATTCACACTTTTCTTGATATAGTCATCAGATTTGAGAACAATTATCACAACATTACAAACAACATTAAATGTTGATTGAAATTCTTTTCTATACCACAAACAATTCTCTGTCCCTTGAAAGTAAAAATATGAACTCACAGTCAACATAAAATTACTGCCGGACTTTCATATGTACATTGAAAGAAGCTGATGGGTTTCAGTTTAAAATGACAAGGGATGACTTTGGCACATATGCTCATCGGACGGAACACAATTATAAGTGAAATAACTTTCATAACAATAAATACAGCAACAGCAGTAACACAAAAAACAAAGGATAACAATGGCAAAAATGGAGCGGGGAGGGGGCGGCTAGTGATAACAAATGGGTTAAATCAGAAGGTCAGGGTTACAAAAGTCGAGTTGACACATTTCCAGTGTTCGTTATATTCAAACACTTTGACGTTTTGGTTAGCTACAGCCTTGCTACCAGAGGGCAGGTGTAATTACCACTGATATATGAATTCTGAAACTATGAACTTTAAAAAACCTTACATGTACATGAAAAAGTGCTGATGATTCAGTAATCATCGGAATTTTGCTTCTTCTGGCACCTTTTGTTTGCTGCTATGACAAAAGTTACCTACACCACACACCAGAGAAGCTAAAAAATATGAAAGACATTACTACTATGCAGATGTTATACTTGGTGCTTGAGACAACCTCAATAGTCAAGTTTTAAATACATAGAAGCATTTAGATTGCACTAAAAATGAAGTACACTAGACTGAGACTCAACAATGACAGGTATATAAATAAAAAGTTTATATACTACATGAAGTCAGTCAGCTCAAAAAGACTGATTTTTGTCATTCAGGTACTTTGAGATAAACTTATTTATACTGATATAAAGTAATACCCTGTGTAAAAGAATATATTATACATATATTATGGATTGCACTAAGGACTGATAACTTGCAACCTTGCAGCGTTACATCTTAGAACAGTTTTTGATATATGGGCAGAAAATACTTCTAACTATTCTCTCCTGTACTTCTGGCCCAAATCGTAACAAGTGAGATTAGCTCGGATGCTGAAATCACAGTCAGGAAGCAGGGAGATGACAAACATATTTTTCCCGCTTTCTGTGGGGAATCCATTGTCTATCCTTTGAAATCAAATCAATTCAACCTTTCACTACATAAATGTAAAAGAGCTATATTATACGTATAGCTAGAGAAGTAAACTGCCATGAGCAAACAGTATGGATACCTTGTGGGTTTTGATGCTGAGAGGAACTGAGCACTTATCTGCTATCCAAGTTTTGCGTGGACGCTGCAGCCGCAGAAAAATGGATCAAACGTGCAGCGGAATTTTCATTTTTTTGGTGAATTTTGCAACATTTTGTGGCATTTATTAAACTTTCAGACAGAGAGCTCTTTTTGGGGGGGAAACACAATTGATCTAGATCTAGATTTTTGTTTGTTTTATTATGGGGTACCCACTACGGAAGGATCGGGCCGATCGCCCGACTCGATCGCCTGAAGCTGAAAACAAATACGTTTTTGAGGCGACCGAGTCGGGCGATTAGCCCGATCGGCCGATCCCATCCATAGTGGGCCCTCTGTATTAATAAGATTTACGGAGCTCACAACAGCATACATGTACTGTAACTCATATGAGCGCCAAGGGGTGGATGTCAACAGAGTGGTTTAAATGGGGAGTCAGGTTTACTCTGCTCACCTCTCTTGCCTCAACAGTGCAAAGTCTGCTTCGACTATCAAGGCACCCCGGAAATAGCAGTTCACAAGAAGCGTGACAAACAAAAAAGAAGTAGAGGAAAAAATGACGATAGTAAGGATGAGGAAAGAAAAAGCAGCAGTTCCCGTTATTCCCTATGTTATTGTGGCACAGTGTGAGCATGACATTGATAAATCAGCCCATTTACAATTCTACTGTTTATAAGAAAAAAAATGTCAATATCCCCCTTTGGGAAGGGCCTAAAACACTTCAGTGAGTAGCATTGTCTTCCATCTAGATTCTATTGTGCATGTGCTAGTAGCGGCTATTGTATAGGAGTACAGGCGAGACGAGATTTGTCTTTCAGCAAAAATGGATACATTTTTGAAAGGAAAGAATACATTGAAAATAAATGCTGCCGAACGTCAGTTTGGCGGAAAACTGTTCTGTTAGTGTTAGTGCGTACGTAACATGGTACTTGACCATGCCCGTAAATTGATGACGGTGGATGGGCATTTCTGTGTTTATGCCATCTTCACCCGAGGCTTTTCCTTCTGGGGTGTTTCTAATTCTAATTGCCAGCTCTACCCCTGACTTTAGAATGTTGGGACCATTGTTGTTGCTTGGTTGCGGTAGGGGTGGTTTTTTTATCTTCAAATAATTCTCCTACATATTCTACCCATCTTCCTAGGACTTCTTTTTTCTAAACAACATAATTCTCTTTTTTGTCTTCAACGCCTCCTGACAATCAATGACAGCTCAAACTGCCAGCTCACCTGATTATGAAATTACTGGTGTAGTGTCTCAATTCTTTGGGTCACACTTTTGCTAGTATTTTATGTTGTGGGCTTATGTTTCTAAACAATAATACACATTGTATGCTGCTAATGGCTGGTTTTAAACATTTTATTTACAGTGTCTGTAGTGCTACTTCTCAGCTTATGATTAATCAGTACTTTATTGGTACTTATATATTTAAAGCAGTACAGGTATGGAAAAAGAAGTTTAGACATGGAAGGAATCCTTGCTGAATTTTTGCAGAATTTTGTCATTTTGAGGGTAAAATTCTGCGCAGATTTTTGAAATTTTCCATGCAGAAAACTACGATGTCAGACTTATGGATCTGTCTAGTGTTCAATGAAGTTGTTGCCCAGGATAGGTAATACAGGTAATACTCTAACCCAAAAACTGGCTGAACAAAAGAAAACCCGGCAGTCCAGCACATGTGGGTACAAGCGGATGCCACTATTTATTCAATTGTAGGGGAAATAAAACTCTCAAAACATTTTCAGACAAAATGAATAATGCAACAGAAAAGTATTTGTCAGTGACTTTGGTATTTAAACAAACATAAATACAACTCAACCTGCACAGACAAAACTCATCTTGAGCAATATTTAAATCAGACCAACATCAGATATTCTTGACCGTAGAGTTTGTGTCGATGCTGGAGCTGCGGCGAGACATGACCTTGTCCCCATAGCTGGAACCTTGGTCTTTGATCTCTGTCGCTCTTTTGTAGTAATGAGCAGCAGTCTGAAAGTCCTCCTGCAATAGTAAAGTAGTAAGGTACGAACAAAAATAATTGTCCCACAAAAAAAAAAGATAATGATAATACAGTAAGATGATAAATAAAAAAATATATATGTAATTTGCCCCACAATTAACTGAGAAGAAACAGTAAAAAGGGGTCAGCAGCCAAAAAGGAGCCCCCCCCCCCCCCACACACACACAAAATGACAAAGATGTGACCTGAGTGCCATGCCCAGCGAGAGCAAAATAGCACACATAAAGATACCAGGTATGATGTAAATAATAATGATAATATTAATAATAAAAACAATAAATAATAAACAACATTTGTACTGCGCATTTCCCCTTTCAAAAGCATGCTCTAAGTGCATACAACTATTATTACCCCAGCAGACCCAAGAACACTAAAAACCATTCTCAACTTCGCCTGTAAGACCACCAAGACCATAATATATATACTAATAATAATAATAATAATAATAATAATAGATAGCATTTGTATAGTGCAAATCCCCGCTCAACAGCAGGCTCTATGCGCTTCACAATCTATACTATTACCCCAGCAGGCCTGAGAGCATTCTGAAACAACCTCAACTTTCTGGGAAGCATACAGTGCAAGCGGCCATTTATAGGCGCTAAAACACTAACATACAGACAAGATCTTTCGCTGTCTATGGCCGGATACCCATTTCCACCTGGGTGAAGTGAGGAAAATTTGTGTAAAGTGCCTTTCCCAAGGACACAACGTCGGGCCTGCGGCTCGAACCCCTGACCCTGCAACCTCACGATTACGAGTCTGGTAGCCTAACCACTAAGTTGTACACAATAGACAGTTACTCTATTATAGCATCCTAATTTTCTTTCTATTCCAAACTCCTGTAGCTTCCCCGTTTCCTTTCCTTTTGTCTTTCTTTTTCCCCACTCTAACCATTTGGTCACTTTCCCTGCAGGAAAGTCAAACCATTTACGCTTTCTTTGTTATTACTACCTTACAAACATATAGACAAGTCGACCTACCTGCTCATATTTCATCACAGCTAGGTTGCGTAAAGTCTCTGCCACACGGGGGTGATGCAGCCCTAGCGTATCCTCGTAGATCTTTAGAGCTTGCTCATAGACAGGCTCTGCTTCCTCATAGCGGTTCTGAGAGAAATTTTACCAGGTGAGGTCAAATCTGAGAGAACTTGTGTGAGGAGAGGTCAAATCTGAGAGAACTTGCGTGAGGAGAGGTCAAACCTGAGAGAACTTGTGTGAGGAGAGGTCAAATTTGAGAGAACTCGTGTGAGGAGAGGTCAAATCTGAGAGAAATTGAGTGAAATTGTGTGAAGAGAGGTCAAAAAGGGAAATCCTACACAGACAAAGTTAAGCACAAATATCAATACAGATGAAATTGTCCAAGACGGATGCCCATTGTCTTGGTTGTTGGGATATATCCCTTAAGACTATGGTTCCAGATATAGTTCCCCCAAACGTGAAGTTATGAAGAAGTTCAACCTCCGAACACATGAAGAGGGCTATTCTTCAAGACCTTGTGTCTATCCCATCCCAAAGAAAGGCTCAAATAGCATAACATACAAACCAGTTCAAACCTCTTCAAACAAATAAAAGAGCAACAACTTTTGAATCCAGTATTTACCAACCTGTTGTGACATAAGGACAGCCAGATTGACCAATGCCGTGGCCACAGATGGGTGGGTCGGCCCAAAGCTTTTTTCCCTGATCTCCACCGCCTGACGGTAAAGTGGTTCGGCCTTGTCGTACTTGCTCTGTTCCCCAGGAGGATGAGACAAACTCTCTTAGTACGAGTAATGCAAAAGAAGGAGTTGACTATCCAAGCAGTGCGAGGAACATGCTCATTACTCTTTACCTCCGGTGAGCTGGCTCGGGCGCATTCCTTTACGATGGCTTCAACATCAAATTGCCAAAAACAAGTGTCTCTTTTACCAGAGTTTCATTCATTAGATGAAGAACTATCAAAATAAGTCACTTGTTTTGATTTAATCACCCATTTTATGACGTTTTTGTCATTTTTAGATTTAGTATAAAATAGGGCCCCCGTAAAGGGTTTATCCCCCTCGGAGATAAAGAGTTAAGCTTTGCAATACAAAGGCAAAGGTTCAGACCAGACGCTAGAGAATCAAAATTATGGGAATGTTAGATTCAGATGAGAGAATCTCTTACATATTCATTATTTTTCAATATTGAAAAAGAAATATTGAGCAAAAAAATATTTACCCATGGTGCTTTTCTAGGCAAAGGCAGAGTCAAAGCCGAGTGGAAAGTCCTTTCCCATGCTTATGTCCCATTAGTGACAGATAAACCAGAGGCCTTTGGGGTGGTATCCACAATTTTATGTTCGTTCATTAGCTCTTTATCATAACTACCATCACAACAGAACATTATTACTTCTTTTATAAAAGCATTAGTAACACCTTTATAATTCATCTTTGCCCAGATTTGGTTTACAAAAGTACACAGCGTACAATATCAGAAAATAATATGTTGCAATGTATAAATATACTAGTGTTGGTAGCAGCAGCTGTGCATCTATTTTTATTACAAAACTGAGCTGGCGAACCCCAATTGAACATCTGTCACTGTCACACACTTATAGGAGAATACAGTGGAAACCATATATAACAGGCCCGGTAATAACAGGGATCCGGTAATAACAGGGATTTTTTAAATGCCCGTTTTTTCCATTCTCTTTGTCTCTATTAAAAGTTATCGGCAATAACAGGTCCTCAGCGCAGCCCAACCGGTGATAGCAGGGACAAAGGCTCGTCAAAAATGTGTAAAAAGTAAGAGAGAGAGAGAGAGGGAGAGGGAGAGAGAGAGGGAGAGGGAGAGGGAGAGGGAGAGAGAGAGGGAGAGGGAGAGGGAGAGAGAGAGAAAGAGAGAGAGAGAGAGAGAGAGAGAGAGAGAGAGAGAGAGAGAGAGAGAGAGAGAGAGAGAGAGAGTAACGCAGTGACGGAGCAAGCCCACGCAAGCCATGCCACTGTGAGCATACGCAGCGTGTGAAGCGAGAGAGGGCTGCGGTGTGCCGCAGACCTTGATCTAGCCCGAAACCAAGCAACACACACGCATAATGTCACCAACGATGTTAAGCGCAAGAGAAAATGCCTTTCAATTGACAAAAAATTCGAAATAATCCAGGCTGTTGACAAAAAGCAGGCTCCACTGGCAGAGATTTGTCGTCAGTTCGACATTCCACCAGGGTCGATTCACACCATTATCAAGGATAGAGAGAAGATAGTGGCAGCATACTCCAATTGAAAGTTCACTCTGGACTGAAAGAAGATGAGACTACCCGATGCTGATGCTGTGGACCGCTCTTCTGGCGTGGTTTAAGGAGGCAAGGAGAAAGTTGGTGCCAAAACCACTGTTCATGGGTACTTCTGGCAAGGGAAACTACCCATGAATAATAAGTACAGCTGGATTAGTCCACAAATGCTTACTTTCCTTGCATTTCTGATTTAACAGGGATCGGATATAACAGGACATTTTCTCTACTCCCACCATCCCTGTTATATCAGGTTTCCACTGTAATCAGAATGTCTTCCCTGGAACTGTAGTGCAAAGAGCTCTACCTAAGAAAAGAGTTGTTAGGTGCGGCATAAAGATAAGAAAAGATAAGATAAGATAGTACTTTATTATCCCAGAGGGAAATTTTCCATGGCTGTACAGGACCATAAAAACACATGCAGGTATACATAAAAAAAATAAAATCATATATATTACTCTCATTAAAATTCAACATAAAGGAGAAATAAAGCTGACAAAAAGTACATATTTACATGAAATGCATCATTCAACCACATGCAGGAATTTAAATACTAGACCTTTGGAGTTATATATATACAGATACATACTCTAAGAGCAACACACATCTATGCTCATTCTGACAAAAGCCTTATGCTAGATGGTAAAAAACTTCTTTTATATCTTTCTTTCTTTGTTTTTGGAGGTAAGGATGAGTTTTTGTGTCTACCTGTTGTTTGTAGAGGCGAGCTAGCTGGTTGATGATACTGGCCACAGCCGGGTTGTCAGGAGGCAAGTGCTGAGAAAGAAAAATTAAAGTGTAAAGGATTATTTTGTCATCAGTATCCTCCTGAACAAATAAGGAAACAAAAGGTTTCATTGAAACTGAAAATCCACGAAAAACCAAATGAGGAATGAGTTTGAGTAAAGGAAAGCACATAGACACAATAACAGTCATGCAATGCAGGGAAGAAACAAGACAGATAGACAGAAAGAACAGAGGGAAAAGAAAAGAAGCAGGACCTATACTAGTGGGGACCTCCAACCACCCGTACATTAGGAATTAAACCAGAAAAACAAGATACAACAAAATATTTGTGATTACATTGACCTGTTTACAACTTTGAAAGATCCTACTTTAACGACCACCTGTCCATGACAATCACCTGCACAATCTATCACTCCCCCTTCCCCATAGTTCTCTCATTCTACATCATCAAAATTCCTGTTATCAGAAAAAAAAATCCCATGAATATCTTTGCACCTACCAAAAGCTGGCACAAAAGCATACCTTGAGTCTAATTCTCAGGGCTTCATCATAGAGGGGCTCAGCACGTTCAAAAAGTTTCTTGTCGTTGTAGAGGGCGGCCAGGTTGTTGAGTGAGGAAGCCACATCCAGGTGGTCACTTCCCAGGATTGTCTCCCGCATCTCCAGGGCTCGCTTGAAGAACGATTCCGCAGTGCTTTACAGATGGAGAAAATGTAGAGGTTGAAGTTTACTGCAAGTCAGCACAATGTCAACAGAAACAGTGCAGGACAATTCTGTTGAAATTGTATTGTTCAAGTCATCCACCCATTGTTGAGGAGAAAAAAAGGTTGTCTTAGACAGATGAACATGTTGGTCAGTGTCATTATGATGTAGAAAAAGCACAAGTGGGGAAGTGGAAAGTGGTCCTTTATACAAATGATTGTCTTAGATAGGTGGCTGTTAAAACAAGTTCGACTACAGTAGTCCAGCAAAGAATAGGGATCAGTGCACAGATACACTTCCACACACATATACACACACACAAACACACACACAAGCACACACAAACTAAAACTCACAACACACACACACATTATTAACCCTCAACTCATTCTCATAGTCATATACACTTTCATCTAAAGCCACACACATATATGCACCCCCACCAACTCATGAACATATATTCACACACACACACACACACACAACACCCACAATACATGTCTACTTCCTTTAACAAGGAAAGTATGGCCAAAACTGTCCAGGATAGCAACTTCATTTTGAAGAGAACATTGCTTGTCTGGAGAGTAGAACATCTTGGAGAGTGTCAGTATAATAATAATATAGGAAACATGCAAGGGAGAAAGTGAGAAGTTTTTGTTTGTACAGGAGTTTGTCTGATTGTCTTGGACAGGTGGCCATTAGAGCAGGTTGGACTACTCACTCTGGGTTGTTCTGTAGATAGTGCAGCACCCCCAGCTCATTGAGAGAGCGTGCCAGGTCGGATGAGTCCGGGCCCATGACAAGCTCCTCTAGCTGAACCACACGCTGCTGCAGCGAGTCAACACATGGCTCTCCCTGGTTTTGTTTGTTTGTTGGAGAACAGGGAAGCACATTGACAAGTTGACTGGTATTTGGCGTAAGAGAAAAGCACAACAGACAGCCAGAAACAACAATGGGTAAAAAAAGAAATAGGACTGCCAGTGGCATCCTCCAACAGTCTAATCTCCCTGATAATATTTAGGTAGCGTAAACACGGCCTCGCGGGCACTCGCGGCCTTCCGACAGCGTGGTATTGGTGAAATCGGGGTAATTCCGATCACTGTTTCTTTGCTCTTTCACTATAAAACACCAAATGCCGCACACCTTGTAAAAGTTCAGCTTTTCCTCGTTACAATGGTGTAAGTTGTTTATATGTCCGATTATTAGGAGCTGGAGAATCGCCGACGAAAGCGAAGCCCCTCGCGGTCGGAATGCGTGGTCGGCCGGTTGAAAAATTGACACGCGTGCATTCAAATGCTTCGCAGAACGAGGGATGATTAAATATCGTCTTTTTATTGGCGGAGAACAGTAGAGCTTTAAATGTGCTTACCTGTGATATATTTTTGTCCTTTGGCGTCTAAATAGAAAGCTTTTAAAAATACCGTCAAAATGTTTAAAGATCACTTTTTACACAAAATATGTCAAATACCGGCTTATAAAACTTATCAATTAAAAAATCAGTTTATTTTCTATTAGAATAAAGTAATCAACTTGGAATTATTTTTTATCAATCCTTCCGCGAGATTCGGAAAGCATGTGACCCCGCATCCGTGGTACACTACAGTATAGAGCCGACTCGCTCGCTGCGGGGGCTGGTGCGGCGCCGGCCGGGTCAACGCTCGGTGTTTTTGTCGAAATAACGACAGATCATCATGTTTGAGGCGATAAAATACTGATTTGTAATGATCACACAGTCTTGAAAAAAATTAGGCTCCATATATTTGTTATAGTGATTGTACTCTGTTAATGTGGAGATGTTTACTGCTCTTGGTACTTTTTTATTGTCTGTCAAACATGGGGTTGCAGCCAGTGACTGACTTTAACAAATTTGATCAAATTTTAAACAAGTACAATTTTCTTAAAAATTGACGGAGAGGTTAAAGAATGGTACCAAAATGCTCAGTGGATATAGGCCTTTTAAATGAAACAGATAAATTTGGCATACAGCTAGTTTGAAAATTTAGTTTCTGGTACCTATAATATTTGTTTATTTGTTGGAGAAAAGAGAAGCACATTGGCACATTAACGGGTAGGCCATATTTAGGGCAAGAAAAAAGCAAAACAGACAGCCAGAAACAACAATGGGTAAATAAAGATGTAGAACTGCCAGTGGAACCCTCCAACAATCTACTCCCTCTGGTAATGTTTATTTGTTGGAGGACAGAGAAGCATATTGACACATTAGCTGTTATTTAGTGAAAAGGAAAAGGAAAACAGACAGCCAGAAACAACAGAGGAAAAAAAAGAAGTAGGACTGCCAGTGGCACCATCCAAGCATCTAATTCCCCTGATAAACAAAATCATTTGATGGGTTTGGATTGAGCTCCAAACATAATAGGAATGGAGTAAACCACTCCAGAATGTCCATCAACCACCCTCTCGGAATATGGAAAGTTTCACCTTAACAATGGCTGATGAATAAATGCCAAAATGCCAAACATCAAAGCTCAATGTGTACTGTTCTCTACGGTACTCCCTATGACTACATGACCTAATAAAGAGAAAATGTTGATTGAGTACATTTGCATTTACTTGGTCCATCTTTAGAGTATCTACAATGACCTTAGTGCTCAAAATATTTAAGAAAAATGATCATTTCTTTATATTTGGACCCACTATTTTGTGGGCTACATTTAATATCTTTGAACAATATGAACTCCATTTCCATTGTAAAAAAAAAAAGAAAGCCAAATGAATTCATTTAATTTTCCAGATTAACACCAGTAGGAATAAATACTAACAGGAACACAAACAAAAGATAAGATTTTCTCTCTCTCTCTTTTACGCACACACACAAACTCGCACACACGCATGCACACACACACAGGCAAATGCACACGCTCACACACAAGGACGCTGTCTACTCACAGACTGGCTTCTAGGAGTCTGAAGAGTTTTCTTGATGGCGAAAGCTTTTTTCCTCAAGCGATGTGCCAAGTCATGCCTGGAATAAAGCCACCAGTATAAACATAATGGGAACTCTCACTTTCACTTAGATATATTTAACTCTTTGTGTACTACAATTCCACAACATGACAATGATATGGTCAGAAAAAAGAAGGCCTATAACAGCCAGGTAATATTAATAATAACATTCAGCACAAAGACAAATCACCATGGAAACAGATGTAACATTTATCACAGAGACAACAAACCACCATAGCAACAGATGGACCATTCATCACAGAAACAAAAATCACCATAGCAACAGAGGTAAACATTCATCGCAACGACACAAATCATCATAGCAACAGAAGCGTCACGACCCGGTAGAATAAGGCGCTCGTCAATTTTAGGACATGTGGAGTAATTGGTATCATATTGAAGCTTGTTCATTTGTCACGCTTTCGTTAAAAAAATACTCATAAATTATAAATAGCACTCAAAATATTTGCAGTTGAAGGACGTGGGGGTCGCCTGCTTTCACAAGGAAAATAAGCGAGCCATTGTAAACTGCAAATTGATATTTTTTTTGTGCCTTAAATTAACATTTTTCAGTAAAATCCACACATAAATGGGTTTTTAAATGGATCTTAAAGGTGTTGAGTCAAAAAACAATAATTAGATAAAAATTGCCAAATGAATAGAAAAATGCCAGTTTCTTCAATTTCATTATTTTGACGAGCGGCTGTTTTCACCACGATGCCTCACAAATGTAAACATTCATCACAACGACGGCGACAATCTCACTTGTCCTGCTTGTGGTAGAGCGCGGCCAGAGCCTCCAGCTCCTTCACCACTAGTGGGTGGTCCGTGCCCAGCGTGTTCTGACAAATCTCCAGCGCATGTCGATACAGCGTCTCAGCCGTGCTGTACTTGCCCCACTGCGCGTGAAGCCCGGCCAACATGTGAAGTGACCTTGCCACCAGGGGGTCATCTGGGTCAAGGTCGATCTCGCGGATCTCCAATGCTCGTTGCAAAGCAGGAAGAGCCTGTGGGGTACAGAGTTTGCAGAAATTAGAACCAATTGTGAAGGGTGCTATCAAAAAGAGTTACTTCTTGGATTCCAGCCCTATGGAAATAGATACAGTGAACGCTTAAAGGTGAAGTTTTACAATTTATAGGTATGAAATAATAAAAGGCATGTTATACTCGTACTTAGAGTATACAGCATTAATCATCATCATCATTCGGTGCCTTGCCGACTAACGTGGGCGATCATGGACCTCCACTTCATTCTGTCTTGCCTTGCAGTGATGGTGTCTGTTGTTCTAGCTGCTCCCAGCCATGTTGTCATTTCGTCCAGTATCTTTTCTCTCTGTTTGCCTCTGCCTCTCTTTCCATCAAACTTGCCTGTTGTTACAAAATTCTCCAATGCTTCTTTCCGCATTGAGTCCGAAGAAATTTGCCTGTCCCTTTTGTATATTCGTCACAAGTTGTCTTCTGCAATTTGCTTCAATCAAGACTTCATTTGTTTTTCTAGCTGTCCATGGGATATGTAGCATTCGTCTTATGAACCATAACTCTGTCACCACAATTGTTCTTTCCAGCTGTTTATTGATTGTCCACGCTTCGCACCTGTATTATAGGATTGGCTCGATGTAACTTTTCAGTACTCTTTTTCTCGTTTCCAGTAAGAGATTGACATTTCTGAGTATCTCTTTCTTTCATTTTGTGGAAGGCTGCTTTTGCTTAGCAAATGCGGCTTTTAATTTTGGGGTGACATCATCTATCTGATGATATAATGGTCCCCAAATATTTAAAATGTTGTACTTGCTTGAGGGAGGTGTCATTGATTTTGATATTGCATGTTGGGGTTGGAGTGTTTCTGCTTATCACCATTGTTTTGGTTTTCTTGATGTTTAGGCTTAAGCCCATGTTGTCACTCTCTTGTATGATGACATTTAATAGATTCTGTAGGTGATCTTCATCATCTGCTATTTGGACTGTGTCGTCTGCATATCTAAGATTGTTCATATTATGTCCCTCTATCGAGATACCTGGCATTTCTTCTATGTATCTCATGACATTTTCACTATTCAGGGAGAACAAGTCTGGAGAAAGTACACATCCCTGTCTTGACTCCTCTTTTAATCTGTATGTATTCGCTGATGCCGTTTTCTATTCTCATTGCAGCAGTTTGATCCCAGTACATGTTCTTGATAATCCTTAAGTCCTTCCCGGCATTAATGTAAAATCTAAAAATTTGAGCTTAGAGTCGATTTTTGGCCAATATCTTAATTTCTTTGGTCGCCTGACGAAATCGTGAATTCCACACGAAGCAAATTTTACAGGAGAGGGGGAAAACGGATTTCCTCCGTCATTTGGCGTTCATGACATAAACTAAAAGGATAAATGTAGTCAATTACCATTCAGAAATAATACTGTTGTACATCTTTTCCGTAGATGGTCATGCCTCTCTCCACAAGTCCAAGTGTTCCAGGTTTGTATGGATTTCACAAGCTGCAGTTGGAGTGGATCTCAAAGCTCCGGAGATAAATCGTACAGCTTGATTCTGGATTTTATCAAGAGACCTCTGAGTTGGTTTGCTGCAGATTGTCTGTAGGGTTAGGTTACTTATATTCCATGGCAGAGCATACATATAGCTGTCTGAGAGCATCCTTGTCTGCTCCCTATGAAGTGCTAGCCAGTCGTCTGAGAATGCTAAGTCTCTTGTTGGCCTTGGTCTTCAGGTTCCAGATATGATTTTTGCATGAAAAGTGTTTGTCCAGCTCGAACCCAAGGTAGGTCGGGTTTTCAACTTTTTCTAGTTTGTTTCCCGCAAGTGAGATGGTGAGATTTTGCTTTGCAACTTTGTGGCTTTTTGTAAAGAAGGTGTAGATTGTCTTGGTACAATTTGCTTTTAGTTTCCACTTGCAGCAGTAGTTGTTGAATCTATCTAGATCCTCATTTATGAGCCGTGCACTGATGCCAGCTTGTTTACTTGTATGCCAGATGGCTAGGTCGTCGGCATATAGCATACCTGCCAACATTGCCAGGGCTAAAATTTGTAGTTGATGCAATTTTTGTCCGAAAATCTGTAGTTGACCTAAAAAATCTGTAGTAGACTATATTACCACTTGTCGCAAACTTAATTTGGGATCCTTATCAATATTTTGACCCACATCACATATGCATGAATGTGTTTGCGACTTCAAACAAATGTAGAATTTAGTAGAAAATGTCAAAGAACAAAAAAATATGACAAATATGAAAACTACCAGAGGCATTTACCCTTAAGCAGTTGGTGCCGTTCCTGTCCAATTCATATATTATGTGCACGCACACACACACAAATGAAACCAACCCCCCCCCCCCCAAAAAAAAAACAACAACAAAAAACAAAAAAAACAACCAAGAAACAAAGAAGAAAAGATGAAGAAAAGGTGGGCCTTGGATGACTTAGGCCTAGCCTTGGCCCTTTGCCGTTGCAGAGTTAACAAAGTAAGAGTACGACGGACCCGAGTCCACACAAGGCCTGCACCAACGTGCGTTTTGCAGAGAGTTCTAGATCTAGTAGTAATCAAAATTTAGAATCCTAAAATTTGCTTCCAAGTTCAGTTTTTGTCCCCTGGTGTTGACCACCCCCCCCCCCCCCCCCCAGGTGTATCTTAAAAAAAAAAAATAATCCTCCCATTCCGGAGTCCTATACTTCGCAGCGCTCAGACTTTGAATGAACTTTGGTGACCCCTACAATTGCCAGTGCTCACAATGTGATGGAACGTGCAGGTTCATTGACCGGTCACAATGGCGAGCCCGACAAGACGCTAGCATAACATTAATTTTCTTTTCTTTTCTTTTTCTTTCACAAGTGACAGCACAGGACAAATATTGATTTATTTTCAAGGCGACACAGCGTTTGCCTTGCACAGCCTGCATGTTGTTACAATTAAAGTTCCGTTATCAAACTACTACCAGCAAACTTCTGGGTGGTAATGAAAGTGAAAGTATATCTTGATTATCCCGATCAAACGTCGGTATCACACATACACTTCCGCTTGCCACCATAGCCGACTGTCTGCGTGAAGAAACATACTCTCGGGGAAGCCATGAATATCACAATCGCGACCGGCAAAAACGAACTTTAAGGGCGTTATCGCATTTAGTTTTCAAATATTCGATAACTTTCTCGAATTCCTGGGAAATTCCCGGGGCCCTGCTGAATCACAAAGTCGGAGGCTTATCTCTCAAAATCGGTGGATCGGTAGTTTGACCAAAAAGTCGGTGATCTACCGATTTTTTCTATTCGGTTGGCAGGTATGAATATAGGGCCTTCTCCGATTTCAGTATCTCAGGCAGGTCGTAGATGAAAACAAGGAAAAGAGTGCAACTCAGAGAGGAACTCTGGGGTAGGCCCTCCTCCAGTATTTTTCAATGGTCTAAAGAGGCATTCATGGAGCCAACAGTCAGCCCCGCGAGTCATAAAAACCGACTGATGAGATCGTGAATTTCACACAGGCGTGGGATTCACGGTTTCATCAGGCGATTTTTGGGGCACAGTGTTTATTCATGATTTTTCTTATTACGTCAGATTACACGTTTGAATTGAGATAATTGAAAAATAGTTTTACAGGGACATGTATCTCACCAAGCACTGTCAAAATATGCACCAAAAAAAACCCAAACAATTTTCGAAAATTTGTGGAATTCACGGTTTTATCAGGCGACCGACGATTTGTGGCTTGCGAGAAGTAACTCATTTTGTCACCACGCCTCACAATTTTTGTTTATAGGACTTTTAAAAAAAGAGAATGATATCATAATAAAGACATTGTATTAGAAAAAATAAAAATGAAGCTAAGACTATGGTGCAGATTAACCACCTCTGGTTAATGGTTGACCAGAGCTCTAGTGTAGTTTGCTCCTTCTTTCCTATCAAACATCTCTCATCTTTGTCTCTCCTCCTCCTTTTCTTTGTACGTTTCAACTTGGTAATCTTACGCACTTGTACTGCCTAACTGTGTTGCAAGCACTTTAAAACCCTTACTAAAACTAAACTAAATGCCTCTATAAATACTATAGTGGGTACTCACAAAGTAATATTCTATTATGTAACCGAGGTAAGGATGCAGAGTTTTGAAAACCTCCCTAAACAACCGAAATTTATTAACAACCCAGTCGTGCATTTAAACCAGAATTATGCTCAACATAATCCATACGACATCAACAGAACCATCGGTATGCCCAGAAAATGTATCAATGAAACAGAGCTTCCTCATATAAGCCCCGCAGGACCCAGTAATAATTTGTGCTGCCTAATCAAGAAAAGAAAGAAATTGCTGGGCAGACCCACCTGAGAAAGAAGACCCAAGTCTCGAAGGAATCCTCCAAGTGTTTCATATATTTCTGCCACTCGAAGGAGACTCAGCCCTTTCTGTCCAGCCACTGAAAAATACAAACATCAGTACATCGCAATCTATAAACATAGCCTACATTAAAATTCCAGAATTGACATTCATATGAAACAGTACAAATTAGAAATATTGAAGTCGAGAGAGCTGCCTGCAAGCTGCACCCATCAGCAAGTGAAAGTGAAGGTTTTCGTAAAATGTTCAAAATATAATAACAAATTCTTCTCTGCCAGGATTGGTTCCACAGGCCATAGCAGAAGCCACATGCTATCTCAATCCATATTTCTTCAACTTTGCATTAAGAAATGGCCTCCTCTGCAGATGCATTGGTCATCATCAGGCATTGATGGACAGGCTATTACAAACATACATACGTAGGTCTAAACAGCAACCCTCCCCTGAAAAAGCTTCAAATATAGAATTTTATTTAAAGAAATCATCTGTCAAGAAAAACAAGCACAAATTAACAGATTTCTTTTCGTACCTAGAAATAGCCCAAGAGTCTCATTCATCCATGATTGTCTGCCCGTTGGCACTCCCCATTTGAAGCAGATTCTCTAATGATATATGTGTTACATTCTCACACATTTTTTTACCCTTTCAAGATTTTATTTTTGAGCACATTCAACTACTATCCCAACCAGCTAGACATTCCTTCAAAACAGAAATTACACGGCTTAAAAAAACATTTTTGATGCATATTTTCAGGACAAACACTTTTTAGTTTGAAAAAACAAAAATTGACAAAAGGAAAGGAAATTTTTACAAGCTAATATAAAGGGTATAAGCGGAGGATAAAAGAAGAAGCCTCACATTTACTTGATAGAGAAAAAGGTTAAGTCACTTCAGCACTAACCAACTTCCAGGTTCTTGGTGGCGGTAAAGTAGGCCTCAGCTGTGCGGTCCTTGTCCCAGCCCACCGTCTGCCAGTAGCCTAACAACTCAGAGCAGCGACCCCTGGCAGACGCAGAAAAGTTATTGATTGTGTCATTCTCTAACTATGTAACTGGTTTCTTTCAAAATGTTCAACATGTAACCAATTTTAAAAACCTTCTAATTTAAATGATGAGAGAAGACACAAAAGTTACATCACAGTAGGCCTACTTCTATACCTCACCCTGCATTAGGGTATAGGCCACGGACAAACACTTTCCGTTTTTCTCTATCCTGGGCTAGCCTCTTGATTTTATTCCCACTTTTCTGTACATCAATTTCTGTAATTGTCTCCAGGTTCCATGAGGTCTTCCCCTTGATCTTTTACCCTGTGGATTCCAATCCAACACTTTCTTTGTTATGCAGCTGCCTGAATTCCTGAGAGTATGTCCAATCCATCGCCACCGCCTTCTTCCTACCTCATCTCTGACTGGGATCTGTATTGTTTTCCTTAGCACTTCCTCGTTGGTGACACTGTCTGTCCATCTGATCCTCGGTAACATTCTTAGACACTTGTTAAAGAAAACCTGGATCCTCTTTACTCAAGTCTGTTCACAGTGCATGCTGATTTTTATTGAGGACCCATAAATCCACCTCAGCATTTGCTTTAGAACACAAAGAGATGACCTATTTCTTCCATTTACACAAATTAAGTATACCCTCATTGTTATCATCCATCACGTACCATACATCTACAGAAAATAGTGAAAGACACTGCTACTTAATAGGCTATCTAATTTGTTCTTTTCCTCCATCAGTCGGTTAATTATAATTTTGCATCAATTTCCCTTTTTACTTTCGATTTGATATTTAACACAATTTAAAAAACAAAGTATATATTAAACAATGTTCAAGAAATTATTACCAAAAAAAATGCTTTGATAAAAATTCCTTTAAAAAAAAATCCCAAACCCATAAACAAAATAAATTTGCTTAATCTCGCTTGCACAAGACTCAAAAGTTAAGCAAAGGCTACCGACCTGGTACAAATCTGTTGAAAAATGCCCAGGTCCAGGATACACTTCTCCATCTGCTGTTTGTCTCCCATCTGACTGACCAGCCATGGGAGCTCGTCCACAACACGCATGGGGACCTGACCAGGGCTGGAACAACAAAACAAAACACAAGAAAGCATTACAGTACCACTTACTGTTACAGAACAGCGGACAGCCTAAAATAGATGGGTATTAATTTCATTGAAAGCAAAGCAAATGAATAAGCTTCCGGATGATACCAATATAATGTCTCATGCCCAAGAATTGGCAAGCACCTGATTCCGCTGCATCGAGACACACATACTCAACTACAGCATACTATATTGTACAGATTTAATAAAAGATGAATAGGTACCTCATGTGCTGTTGAAAGTAGCCAATGAGAGACGCTCTGACGTCTCTGAGCCGAGTCTCCTGTCCCTTGAAGCAGAACTCGTAGACAGCCTCCTGGGCCTGAAGCACACGCATAAGATATTTTATATAAGATTATGAAGAAAATATTCCAGTAGCTGACATTATTAGATTATAATATCTTACTCCCAGCATTTCAATATGAACCCCCCGAGAACACATTTGGACTACTACAACAAACATTGTGATAATTAATCATGTTCAATTTTAATTTTTGTATAAAGTTGACATCTCTCGAAAAAAACCCCGAACAAGCTAATTTTGAAGGTAAATGAGATACTGTGAGATTTACAGGGTCCTTATTTTGTTGGAACGGAAAAAAATAACAGGTCAGTCTAAAGGACAGACGGACAGAAGACACAGTAACAAGGATTAAAGCGGGGCTGCCATCCCATTTCAATGGTTTTTAGTAATGACCATGAAGAAAATTAGTAATTTCCCATAAAAATTAGTAATAGTGCTATCATTTTCAAATTTGAAGTGTTTCAAATTACTATATTTCAACAAACAAAAATATGTCTTAATTACGGAAAAAGGGGGAAGCAAGCGGGGTGAAGGCACACTGACTCACGCCGCGTATCGGCCGATCAATAAAATCTATTTTTAGACCGCTTGGGTCTCAGCAGCGTGGCAGCGATGTTTCTACTTCTATGCTTCTACTCGTGTACGGTATTATTGTGGGCAAGGCGGACTCGCGCGAAGTGGACCAGCTGTTCCTTTTTTTAGGGGGGCGGGGGTTGATTTTTGAGATTGGCTGTTTTCAGACTATTGGCGGACGATTTACAGGTCTGCACTCAGACTTGTAAAAATTGTAATAAATCGCCTTACGATCGGAATTTCGTAGAGAGGCTAAAAAATCGTAATGATTTCGAAAAAATAGGAATGGTCGGCAGCCCTGTTAAGGCTGCCTGTCCGATACCATAAAGATCAGGCAAATAGAGTGGTACAGTCCATGCCGGCTTTAAGACGAAGCGTGCTTAAGTGCGAAGTAGACATAATCCAGAGATTTTCATGTAGAAAATTCCCCGTGCTATTACCCTTTGTTTGTAAGTAGGCCTATAGCGGTCCCGCAAAAGTGTGCACTGTTATTTAGACACCCGCCATGGTAGTTTTTGTTCGCTTGTTTGTTTTTGTTTTGTGGTCGAATGGGAAATGAAAACTTAATTTAGACGGCCAGTCACGATACAGCACACTAGGCCTACTTTAACACACTGCCTGTGTGTACCACTGCCCGCTGTGCCACTCATACATGTACCACCGCCTTCATCCCACCTCGCACGTGATACACAATCAGGATTGATGGATAGCGAGGGTCAAAGGTGAAATCGTAGCCAGCCTCCCTTTCTCGTCACCCCGACTCTTTGTATTTTTTTTTTGGTCGTGTGTAGCTTTGCCCTAGGCCAAGGCTAGATCCTATGTCCGCGCGCACGGCTGTGTGCTTCTCTCTGCCTTCCTCTCCGCCCGCGTGAGTGTGTGTGTCCATCACTTGCGTTCTTTGTGTTTCTCTTGACACACTCCACTGCTGCGGTGTAAACTGTGTTCGAACTTCGATGGGTCATCATGAAAATATTGACTGTCTTGTAAATGAAGCGTGCTTGAAGCTGAAGTTACCGTGCTTATAGGTGTGTAATTTATATAGCAAAAATTCGGTAAGAGCCGTTTAGCGTGCTAGAGTCCGAAACGTGCTTAAGGCCGGCGTGCTTAAAGCCGGCACGGACTGTACTGAACCAGCAGGAGAAATTTGACAGAGGCTGTTCATGAGATCCTTGACTATATACAATATTGTCAGTTTTTCTGCAGGTGATGACGACAAAATAGCTTTTGGTGATAAAAAAGCTGACAAAAAATAGCTTTTAGACTGGTGGTCTCTACAGATGTGTGCTTAGGAAAAAACAATAACCCTGTTAAAAAACAAAGCTTTGTACGGCAGCGACCACCAACGGTGAGCTTGTCTGTATGAATCTGTCACTTTGATGTTTCCTTTGCATAGATGATTTAAATGATATACGTTGGACTCATTTGTACATGCCATAATAAGGCATAATTTTTTATAAAGGAAAAACAAACTAGGAGGGCCTTCATTTATTATTATTATCATATTACTGATAAGCCAAAAGTACACTGAGTTATAAACCAATTCTTGACACCTGCAGCAAGACTGTTTCAGAAAATAAATGTGGGTGGTTGGTAGGTGCTCTGGTATAGTTTGCTCCTTCTTTCTTCTAAATCAACTATCGTCGTAATCTCTCCTTTTCTTTGTACACTGCTCTCTAAAAATACCTCAAATCTTTGGCACTTATACGACCTAATCGTGTTGCAAGTGGCATAAAACACTTACCTAAACGAACTTCCCATTTGAGAAAAAAATGAGAAATTCAATGTCACGACAGAAATGTCTCACCTGTGCATGAGCAAAGACCAGAAGTCCGAGCTGGTACCTCACCAACAAGTGATGTGTCAGGAACTCGCTCAAGGCACACAACTCTGGCCAGCCCAGTCCTGGGATAAGAGCCAGTAATTCTGACTCCAACATTCCACAGCGGCTAGCGTAGATGTACTGCAAAATCTGGGACCAAGGAATAATAAACATTGACTAAAGCAGCTCATCCAAGAAAAACAAAAAAGTAACAACAATTAAAAACAAGAACAGTAACGACAGCTGAACTGACATAACAGTAAAATATTGATAAAAGTTCTAGTTACAAGAATTATAATAAAAATTTCAGATATGACACAGCAGGGTAGTGGAAGGATATTGCTGACTGGCCCCTATTCCCTTCCTATCTGTCATTTTTATTAATTTTAGTCTACATTGATTTCTTTATTTATACCTATTAACTGTTAAGACAAACCAACCACCCCTCGGTCACCAGTGCTCATTACAACACAACTCAGACAACCACATTCCCTTCCTGTGTCACACTATGAGTCGTTTTAATTCATTTCTGTCTACACTGACTTCTTTATTTATCCTTATTAACTGCAAAAACAAGCCAAACACCCCCCCCCCCTCCCCTCCTCAGTCACCAATGCTCATCACAACACCACTCTGACCACCACTTGACTGACCTGTCGGGCGAAACCATAGACTTCCTGGCCCAAGCAATCAGAGGAACAGGTCAAGAGTGAGCAGTAAAGGTCAAAACTGTCACCACAGGAGAGTAGAGATGATACGTGTCCATCCACAGTAGCCGAGTCAGCTCTGCCTAGGCTGTTGAATAAGAAAAAAAAAGAAAGAAAACCCCCAACTCTATATGTTTGTCAGGAGAGAGTTACAATAAACATACATTACTTCACTCTGGCTTGTGTGGCGCAGTCCATTCTCAACTTGATTAAAATGTAAAGAATAGAGATTCGAATCTATAACCAGCAGGAAAAAAAAATGTCATACATCAAAAACAGGGACAGAATTACTTGGGACAGGCAGGTGCCTCACCTAAAAGAACCTAAATAACTCATGAAACCAGAAACACAGTTGAAATAAGACAAAATCAACACACTTTTACTACTTGATCTGATGTGATTAAAGCTGACTTTGTGGATTAGAAACTAACCTGGCTATATGCCTGGCTATAAGGGACACATAGAGGGGGCAGCACGTTGCTGGTGTGCGGCACTGGGCGAGGATTCGTCGCTCCGTCTCCGGTGCCATACTTGCGCCGAGAGAAGACAACTCTGCCCACAACAACTCCTTCACGTGCTTGCTGCTGCACGGCTCCATGTGTAAAGTCGGCCACGACCTGATCGACACCAAACGAGAAGACAAGATACAGCCTACAGCATACACACACTTTTTTTGACACTTTACATGAACTATGTATGTTCTGTCAAAGATTGTTCAAGACAGCCAACTATTGTAGAGACAACAAATGTACATTTTAGACAGGCGGACGTCATGGAAAGTGTCATTATAATACAAAATGTAGAATAATGTAAAAATAATGAAAGGAGGGATGTGGGAAGTTGTCATTTGTAAGGGTGTTTGTCTTGCACAGGTGGTTGTTACAGCAGGGAAATATACCCCTAAACATTTACTAAAAAGTACCCAAGTGTTAAACTGGTCCACACAGAAATTGAATTTCATTTTCATTTTCTAATACTTCAAGTGAGAATATCACACAGTCAACTAGCTTGCACCCTGTCAGTCATAACCACTTGAGTCTCAACTACTCAGCTGACTACCCACTAGAACTGAAATTAATATGTGACGAGGGAAAAAAGGCGAAGAAAGAGAGACAACATTCTTAAGTCCCTGTCCCACAGTGACAGAAAGCTCAGGGTGAACTGTGCATACTTTACCACTTAAAGTAACACCCCCCCCTCCTGCTCAGCGGCGCCTGAAGTTGCTTCCTAGGGGAAAAAGGCACCTGACACAAATTTTCCCATTTTGACTGTTCTATAAGAGACAGATGTTTAATTCCTCTTAAATAAACATACAAGGGGCATCAAACCTCTACAATATTGCCCATTTTATCCCCCCCCCCCCCCCCCCATCGACATTTTGAACTGATTGACCAAGTTCAAAACATCCAGGGTCACTGTAGGGGTCCCAGTGGGGGCTGGTGCAGTCATTCAAGAAAGGAGACAGCTGGCTGTGATCGTTATGAGGTACAAAAACATGGGGTTTAAACTTTACTTTTACCACATTATCTGTGGCACAGAGTGATGTTTTAAAGCAGAACGAAAGAGAAAGAAATGTTTGAATATGTTCACCTCCAAGCCTGAGGACAAGAGTCTTCATTCACTGACACAATGACCCGAGCATCCACGGGTAGTGGGTCCAGTAGCCACTTGAGATGAACGTCAGCTTGCTGTGGGTACAACAAAATTGTGAGGACAGACTTCAGAACAAAGGAGTCTATAACCTGTGATTGGGAACGTCTGCGATAATACAGATTTTTTAGAGTATCTGACCAAAGGAATGAATGATGAACCATGATTGCCTATGTGTGTCGGTGATCTGGCACTTGATGATGATAATAACCTCCTTTAATATGAGAACAAACTATGAAATAAAGAAATCTATAACCTCAAGTAATGATGCATTCCCAATATCTAATGTTAGTGTACAACTCTCCGTTTCTGTTGTCATAGACTATGCTATTTAGACATTATTACAGCATTAACAGGACTCTCCTGATTTTTTGTTGTTTGGTTGTTTGATTGTTGGTTGTTTTTTTGTGTTGTTTTTTTTCGGGGGGGGGGGTGTACACTTACATTAGATGTTGAGAGTGCATCATTACTTGTGGTTATAGACTTCCATAGCTTGTTCTCAATAAATGAGGTTGCCATCATCATCAAGTGCCATCACTATATACAAAAGGTTACAATGTTGAATGCCAGTCCATGAAAATTAAGTCTTATGCTATATTTCAAAATAATATTGATGAGGCAACACATAATTCCACGCTTGGCCAATAATATCAAAGAGCCTACACCCTAAAATATCAATAGAGTAGCTACATGTATGAATGTTTGTCTTACACTGATCTGCAACAATAGAGGCATTAAGTCTATACTCAAATGACAACAGAAGGAATGACTTAAGTCAAAGTCACAGTCAAAATGGCAGTTAAGTCCTTTGGAAGTCTTCCACAATTACAAAATGTAATTATATAGAAGAAAAAGAAACAGTATCCTTCAAATCGGTTAGGTTAGTAAGACATTACATTGTTGCAAGACAAACAGTAGCAAACCTGAAATCTATCAACAGAGTCCAGCACCACCAACACTCCCCCTGGGCTGCGAGCAGAAATTTTCTCTAACCACCGGGGAAACTCCTCCACCAAACGAACAGGGTCACAGGTCAAGGACACTGTGGTTGACACTTGCTGCATCAACTGAGTTGAGTAACAGATAGATTACAGTAAGAATTGAGTGAGCTTCAATTCATATCCACTTGTCACTAAATGTATTTTAAATAGGAGGCAACACTCTGACATAAACTATAATCAAGAGACAGGCGATCCAAACATTTCAAGTCCATCTTCAATATTCAACGAAGCAATAAGGAAACTTTCTCTTGGGATAAATAAACTCGACCTAAATAAGAAAGATGTCTATGCACTTTTTTGCAACAAAAATGTGTGTGTGCATCATAATTTTTTTCTACATCACTATTTAGTGCAGAAGGCAGAATTAGAATCCCTGAAGGGCACATATACAACAAACATGAAAAACAATAATATTTGTGTCCATTATCCTATTTTATTTATTTACAATATGATACAGAAGTGATCAAATAAGAGTCTATACTTTATTAACATGCCTCAACATGGTTTGTGAGTCAAAAGTCTTACTAAAATCGGGACACAAGCTAACTATTTTAAGACCCCAGTAGCACATGGCTGCCAGCCAGGCAAAGGATTATTCTGTGATCTTTATAGATAAAACAGTAGTATGCAGTAGTATGCGTAAAAATCAACAACACTGTGAAGAGAAGATCTTACACTCAGTTATCCCCTGAGCTCTTGCAGACATGAGAGGAAAAAGAATTAGACCCCAAGCCATACATACACACACACACACACACACACAAATGCACACACCATAGACACATCAGTACACACCTGGGCAGTGAGCCTGCGTATCATGAGGATTGGGTCAGCACTGACCGAGTTCTGAGAGCCTACGAAATGATAGAGAAGTAAACTGCTGGCACTTCGCTCTTCCTGCAGCTGTAGCCTGGGACGGTGGACAAGGGTTTTCGAGTAAACATTTTGTACAAAAGTAAAAGCATGGGTGTGTACGCACAGACAAATCTGTTCAATACGACCACCCAGAGTCAAGAAGGAATGTGGCGTTCTTCGACAGGTGGTTCTCTTGGATAGTGTCATTAAAATATAGAAAAAGTGCAAGGAACAGAGTGGGAAGTGATCGTTCATACAGCTGATTGTCTTGGACAGGTGGTGGTCGGGGCAGGTTTGAATGTACGAGCAGTTATATTTATAGGTGTGAGAGTTCTATACGCACAAGCAAGTATAGAAGTTTGTACAGGTATTTGCAAATGTGTGTGTGTGTGAGTGCATGTGTGTATGTGTGTGTGTATGTGCATGGGCGTGTATTATGTGTATGGGTATGGAAATATACCTGAGAGAAATGCTATTTAGACAAGTGAGAGACATATGAGAGGGGAAGTGAAGAAGAATGAAAAAGTTGGTGGCCATATAAGAGAGAATGAGAGGGGTGGGAAGTTAGAGGTGGAACCAAAAGGCAAACAGAAAATGAGAGAGGAACTGAGACGAAAGACTGAGTTTTGTGTATGACAATGTATGACTAGTCACATTTCAAAAAAGGTAGTGCAACAATGTCCATTTAGATATCAGTCTTCTTCTTCTTCTCGATCGCATCACACTTGAAGTCCGGTATCTGTCATAAATTGGGCCTTCCTGCTCAGTTCATCTGGCAGCCCGTATATCAGTGATTTGTTACACCTCCTCCTCATTGCAGGAGATCAATACAGTTTTTAGAAGCACATGAAAATGAAAACAGATGTTGATTAATTTGCATCTAAAACATAGACGTATAACTGCAGCATATTTTTTTTTAAAGCTTCATCCCCTTGCGCCATAACACTGAGGAGCCGTTCTGTAGTACTTTTGACTTGAAGAAAAGGCTGCTATGTGTTACTTTGAAAGTTGGACAGCAAGCAAAGAGGCCTCTAACACAGCAATGAATAATAAACAGAGAAATTATCAGGTAGACTGATCTACTCTCACCAATCTTTAAAGGTTACCGTAAGTACTTAGCTAGCTGGATTGGGTGGTGGTTTGGGGGAAGGGGGGGGGGGAGAAGAGAAGATGGTGGAGAGTGAGGAAAGACACGGGAGCATAAGAGTGTGGTGGTGAATGGGGGGGGGGAAGAACAATGACATGACTCTCTCGACATACCATTTTGCCAGGAGTAATGATTTGCCACTACCAGGACTGCCCATAACCAACAGGGGAGGCAAAGGGCCAGCAGCAGAGACCTGTGTGTTTAAGTGCTCATAGTACTGAAAAACGAGATGAAAACACAGCATAAAATTAATCATACAGTATAGGGGAAAGGTTAGGTACCTATGCATAATTCTAACATCATCAAAAAAAAGTATCACATCAGATGACAGCTTCAGAAACAAACTAAAGGACAGAGAAAGGCACATGACTTACAGACAAACTCAACATATAGACAGAAAAACACATAATGAGATACAGACAAACAAAAAAGGGCACATAGTGCCATTCCAGAAAGACAAAAACACAAGTACAAACACATGCACCATCATAAAGACAACAGAAATACCTCTTGAGAGAAGAAAAAAATAGACGTGAAAGACATAATATTGACATGCCTTTATTTTTTTCTCTTCTTCCTCAGTCTTCCTTCTTTTTTTTTTTACTAGGATCAGACAAGAGTTTATTCAGTTCTTTTTTTTTACCAGTTACTCAGTTTTTTTTCCTGCAACAGATTTTCTAACACTGGAAATATACACAATGGACCTCTGTATTTTTCATTCTTATCCCAGAAGACTGGGTATTTGACCCCACCCTACCAATGACATAATGGGAGAAAAGAATGTGACCAAACCCCCCCCCCCCCCCCCTCGTACTTCCTTTTTTTCCCCTTCAATATTAAGTTATCTCCTCTTTCTTTTCTTTTTATGCTACTGTCTATTAATCCTCTAATCTTCAGCACTTATATGACCTTTTTGAGTAGGAAGTGCCGTAAAAACCTTACTAAAACTACGACTTCATTATCTACCTTCGTCTGGTTGTACACACTCACCTTCTCAAATCCCATCTCGCAGGACGATGTGACCGCCGTGTGTAACAGATCCAGCTGCTCCATGTCCCTTTGCTGGTCGGCCCAGCCGCTGGGGCTGTCACACACCATCACCTGGTCACTGCTCTTCTTGCCCACGCCAAGCTCCTGTGGGAGACACAACAGGCTCGTTTCACCGTTCTGGTTTATTCTTTTTGTCAACAACCAGCAATACAGCGATTGATTGCACCTTCCTTCCACATTGGACAATACAAGAGGAAGGAAAAAGTAAAAGGTAAGAAAGCCAACAATGGCCGCTCATTTGTTCAACACCCCTGAGCACAGAGCAGCTTTCAATCCAGGGTTCACAATCATTTGTGCTTTATGGAAGTGAAAATAAATTTTGATGATTGAAGCCATTTGTACAAAAATTGTAACTTTAGAAGTTTTATATGCCCCCATTAACAATATTTAGATCATTTTAGAGGCTTGTTGTTTCAACTGAATATCCTGGCCAATCTGGGCTAAGAGGGATTCAAATACCAGGAGAAAGACAGAGATTCTTGATAAAAATATTCCCAACACAAAAATCAAACTAAGATCTCCTGCATGCCATGGTGAAGCGCCTAGATACTACAACATAGATGTCAGAAAGCCAGATCTGACACACTGTCCTCACTAAAACGAAAACAATACTTCAGCTCAAAATTGGAGATCTATTTTTATCATAGACAAGCCTTTCATTGAGGACATCCTAAAGAGAAGTGAGGTGTGCACCCAGCCAGTAACAGCCAGGTAACACTCTGGCACTGTATTTTCTACCTTGTTTTGGACTGGACCAACCCAAACACTGGTATTTTTTTTCCTGCTGGATTTAAGGAGGTTCAACAGGAAAAAGGTAAATGCTCAGTCCTCTTCTTCTTTCTTATTTGTATTTCTTCTCCACACCCACAACCCACTCATTGCCTCATAAAACAATACTTAAGTGCACACCAAAGTGCATAAAGTTAAACATACAAAAACAAGACTATCATATGATATCATAATATAATCTTTTCCAACAAGACATAATGTTTATTTCACAATTTTCCAGTCGTTTTTAATAGCCCCGTTTGAAGTAGGATGATAAAAAATTATCCACCCCCAAGTAAAACTATAAAAGGTGAAATTCTGTTCAGAGTAAGTGTGGTGAGTTTAAGCATGGCTGGAGAAAGACAACTGTGACAAGAACAGGCGAAACACAATGATATAACAAGAGATTGCTTTAGAAAAAAAACAAAATTACATCATTGATGTAGCATACAATGACAAGGCTCTTAAATTCCTGATTGTCTAATCCGAGACAGTCCCCGGAAATTTTGGGCAGTTTGCAAGCCTGCACGCAATGAAAAGACGGTACAACAACAAGGGTCGTCAACAGCCTACCACTTTGAGTAGTCGTTCCAGTTCTCTTGTAGCTGCTTGGGCCATGCTGCCCAGAGCAGCAGAGGTGTGGATGATGTGAACTCGGGAATTCGCCACTTCACGCACCTTCCTCTTTAGCTCCTTCATCTCTTGACTAGATTTTGTTCTGCCAAAAAGCAAGAAAGGATCGGAATATAACAGTTGGGGGAGGGGAAAAATGGAGAGAAAACATGTTAAGGAGAAAGGGAGGGAAATGAGGGAGGGGGGAGGGTGTATGTGTGTAGAAATTGAGGGTCATTCATAATCACAAATAATTCAGCCCACTTTAATCAACAGCTAGCAATGTCTTTTCTCTTCCATCAAAATACATGGATAAGCAACATCAATCACTAATAAAAGTCTCCATACAGTTCTCATAAACAGACAAAATTACTTATTTTCTCTTTCAACAACCTCAGATATACAGGCCATGAGAAAAAATCTTCTCCCCAATCAACAATTCAAAAAACACCCTCTACTTGCTAGTTTCAACAGAGATGAGCCTTCATCAGACTGTCAGTGGCACAACACAGCAAGAAAGTTAAAAGTGCAGGATAACAACATTGACCTTTGCTATAGATGAGCCCAGATCCAAAGATAAGATAACTGAAATGCTTACCCTTTGCTATCTGATGTTTCTGACATTAGCACAATGGATGATTTGCTAGACATGTGATCAAGGTGAGCTTGTTTCATCTCCATATGAGAGAACCTGAAATTATGATGCGAAAGTAAGAAATGAAAGTTTTTCTCAGCAAAGGAAGAATGATATCATATTCCACAACACAAAACACAAGTGAGACCACCCCTCTCTGTGTTTTCTCTCCTTTCACATTACTCTCATAGCCCCAATTCATCACAACTTATTTTCCATGTTCACACATTCCCAGTCCGTACTTCTTCTTCTCTCTTGATTTCCCAACTCTAGTTTTATACAGAAACGTTTTTCTGTATAAATCTTATTTTCTCACATTCCATGATTGCCATGGCAGTTTCAAAATAAAAAAGAGTTGGCCTCGTTATCTGAGAAAAATTCAAAAATTAATTCCTTCCCAAAACTGAAGCTACTCAAAACTGGTATACATATAAAATTTAGAAAATGGCATGTGGCCTCTCAGGCAAGGCATGATTCTATGTTCTGTGCAGATAAAACAGTCCTGTATGTAAAAAGCAATTGTACTGTGAGAAGAAGATGTTACAGTCAGTTGCTTCCTGAGCGCTAGCAGCCGTATGCTGAAAAAGAAGAAGAGTTTGTCTCTCTGCTTCTCTACATCTTCCCCAATCTTTTCAAAACACAACAAGAACTCTGCTTCTATTGCATTCTTCAGTATTTTTCCTCTTTTTTAAAGGCAGCAGGGGTTTTTCACAAAATCCCTGCATAATTCTGACAAACTGCAAATTAAAAAAGGCATGTGTATGGAAAACCAAAGGGAGTGAGACCTCTGCCTACTTACTTGTGTAGTGTGTTGCCCAAAAAGGCAACAAATATCACAGATAGGTCAACCTGTAGTTTACGAGCTCTAGACTCAAACTCCACATCCTGTAAAGACAAATCAGACCATTTATACACTGAAAATAGTCAAAGAGTCAAAATAAGCTCATGCATGTCTCTTTACTTGAACTATGTTTATTTTGGCAAAAAATTATGTGTCTAAGTACTACAGTGGGTAAAACCCTCAAGAGTTTTGACTTAGCATTGGACAGTACAAGAAAGAAAAGAAGTCAGTTGCTTAGATAAGGCTGAAACATTACTCTCCTCTTCATCTACCTCACTTGCAACTGCTCAATTTACACACTGAATTACAAAATGATCAAAATAAAATTCATTCATCAGGTCCACAATATTAATATACTCTGCAATCACGTTATCCAGCAAAGAGGAAAAATCAAGTCTGTAAGCTGCATTTAATCAACGTTCACCGACACAACATTTTCATGCTTTCAAAACCAGGTGAAACAGAACAATGGAGAAAAACCTACCCCTGAGTCAGCTTGCACTGTTTGACCGGGTAAATGAACAAGAGTGAGATCTCTTCCCTCGGAGCTACAAAGTTCGCACAGACGAGGCACATGGTCCTGGAAGGGAATTTTTTTCAAAGTCCAGATCACAAAAACTCTTGTTATATCCACATTTCTTTGAAGCCAAGAAAATCATAACATGTTCTGAACATCATGTATCGTCTGTCACAAACTTTTAATTTGCGTTATTTGTTATTCAACACATTATTTTACTGTCTAGATCTTGCAACCTTCATCTCTTTCAATTCAGTACACTATATTGGCAAAATATGTTATTATATACAATAAAAATATCATCACCATAAAGTGCCAGATCTGACAACAGCAATGATGCTTCTCCATTCAGTTCCCCACTCTGATGCTCTCAAAAATATCACATTATCCTGATCATTTTTGCCTATCACCCATCTGTTCAGTTTTTCTAACAAAGTTTTTCAGGGTCTACCCACCTATAATTTCTTCAGTTTTTATATCAAAACCTCTAAACGGGGTGCTCATATTTCAATATATTGATGGTGACAGGCAGGAATACTTTTTCTAAAGGGACAAACCTCCATGAACTTGTCAAATTCTGCAGCAAGGTCTGGGGACACAGAGGCAAACACCCGTATGGTGTGACTGGCAAGGTGAGGCGGCACAGACGGGAACACCCGCCATGCATTTACAGCAGTCAAGTTCCAATCCTCTTAAAGAACAAAACAAACAAAAGACAAGATTAGTACAAAGGTGTGTGAACCTCAACAACCAATGCAGATATTCACAAACCAAGTAACTTTCAAAATACAAACACACACACACACACACACACACACACACACAAAGAGTAAGCATTAAAAAAAATGTTATTTGTGCTTTCAAATATACTACCACTGTTAATTTCATTTATGGTAGGTAAATGTGTATTCATTTTTAAAGCAATTAGAATATCAATAATACTCATAAAAATAATAATAACCATCTTTAAAAAATACAATTATAACATTTGTAAAAAAAACTTATCAATTTGGTTTCACACTTGAACTTTCAACTAAGACAGTCTTCACATTGGTAAATTTTATAAACGCAAACATTTATAGCATACAACTTAACATAAATTACCGTCAATTAAAAATATCATAATTATTTGTCACTGCCAAAAACTAATGCACTATTTTGTGGTAAGATAACCTTATTTACACAAAAGACACATCTAAATAACTATTCACTAAATGCTGGCTAGTAGTAACTGCTTCACTTTGTATCGGAGCAGTCATACTGATCAAATGCACTCTCTACACACCTTTGTTCACATTAATGAATGGTCCATCCATATCCAAAGAGGTAGAAGCGAACTCAGGACCTTTCAGGAAAGCCGGTTGATGAAGTTGAACTGTAGACCCCAAGGACGGCTCACTTTCCAATGTAGCCCACCAATCACCAGGATGAGAATTGCCTTGAAACAGAAGAAATTGCAATCTTAATTGTTATATTTTTGTAACTTGTAGATGTTTTAAGCACCCATTGATACAATCATTACATTCTGTCTGAAGTAAATTTTTCTAATGCAAACCAATCCACATAATGAGATTAACTTTTATCCTGCGTCTGTGCCCAGATGCGTATCTTATCAGCAACCGATTACGTCGGACGTGCCAGGCAGGCCGCTGGGGTCACTCAGTGTGTACTGTTGGTGTACAGCGTGCCCGCCGGGAAACGTGTGTTTTCGCCGTGAATACCGCGGGAGTGTGTTAACCGATGATGAAAATAACGCTGTATCTTTCATAGCTTTCTATAAAGTGTTACAAACACATGAATAACCCCCTCTCACAAGCTGATAAGACATTAGGAGTAGATACACCCATTCGAATAATCTTTCAGAACGCTCTTGTTGTTATGAATGACCTGAGGTTCGAAAGGGGATAATTTAGGTCAATTTCCGAATGTTTTACCCTCAAATTGTTCTTTGTACCTGCACAATGGTATTCAAAACTATCAAACAAGCTTATTTTTTATCAGGTAGTATCATTTCATACAAAATCAAGCTCATTTGAAATATTTTGTATCGAAAAATGGAAGTCTTGTTTCCCGACTATCCTTTCGAGCTCCTCATGTTTAAGTGGGTCAATTTCTTCTATAATTTCATTGGACGAACATCTGGAGCTACCAACTCGGTATGTTTTGAATGAGACGTATGCCTCGATTACGAACCAATGCAGGCCGTTCTAGAAGAAGGCCACAAACGCACACAAACTCAAGCAGACTGACGCACACACACACTTGACCTGCGCGAATGGGGATCTGACTCTGGACCCGAATGACACGTAAGAGCATGCGCGCTGCACGTGCGCTGAACCAGGGGCTACACTGATAAGGGACCAGAACGTAGGCGAGGTGCCGAAATAGGCTTATCGGGCGATATAAACCCGTCTCTCGCAGGATGAGGGTTAACTTTCTTCTTTTTCTTGATCGCATCATACACTTGAAATCTGATATCTGTCATATATTGAGCCATCCTGCTCAGTTCATCTGTCAGCCCGTATAGCTTCTCCTGTAGTGTCAGTGGGGTTGGCCACATTTCCTGTCTCAGATTTTAAAAAGGGCAAGTTAAAAAATAAGTAGCAAACTCTTCAGAGTTTATCCTCTCCTCACCTAGATCCACAATGCCAGGTCTAGCCTGTGAGTCATTGTCATCAGGTGCTTGTCCGCTGTATGCAAGTTTGGATAAACGGTTTTCAAGTTCTTGCTTGGCACGCAGTAAGTTCTGAATCTCACTCTCTTTAGTTTCTCTGAACAACTGCAGAAAGATCAAAAGAAGTCCTTTAGAATATAAAAATAGCCCTTCAATCCATGATTTAAATATCAGCCTGTACAGCGAAATGGAACAGTTTGTCTTCACATCCACCTTCTAAAATAAGGCACTGGGCCGATGGGGAATAAAACCAGGACAGCTGTATTGACAAAATCAATATAAGAAAGGATTTTGAAAAAATGTTTCAATCAGTAAACAGAATGGGTGTTTCACCACACACACATGCATACACTCATGCTCTCTCACATACCCTGTTTCACACACTTATGTGTCACAACGCAGTGGAATCAGGCGCTCTTCAATATTTGTGTATGTGGAGTTATTGGTATCACCTTAAATCTTGTTCATTTATCTTGGTTTGATGAAAAAATTACCCATCTATCTTGAGCAGAAGTGAAGACATTTGTGATTGAAAGAGTAAGCTCACTTGGTTTCAGCGGTAAAAATAGGGGGAAAATGGCGGTCAAAAATTGGTAACTTCAAGAGCTAAAGAGTCCTTGAAAACTGAAAAATTACATATTTGCGCTTTTAGTCAATGTTTTTCAATGTAATTCATATGGAAATGTGTTTCTATTTGGACATAAAAGGTTTGAACAAAAAAACAAAAAAATTAGATTAAAATTGCGAAACTGAAGGGAAAATGCTTGTTTCTCCAATTTTGTTATTTTGACGAGTGCCTGATTTCACCATGTGGTCTCACATATCATACCTTTACACTCACAGAGACCCACAGTCACAAACATATGATATAAATGAACAATAAATTGTTAACAATAGAAAAGTTTTTGCTCGAACAAAAGTGATAAGCTGGAAAAACATAGGCCTACAAACGGTGTCACCTACAACTCATCAAATATAAAAAATATGAACATAGAACAAAAACAATCGCAAAATTGTATTGATGAACAAAACCAAAACTCAAATTCTTGACATCAAAGGCAATAATTTCATTGCTTTATTATTAAGAAAAAGTCTTCTGTTATTCTGCTCTACTGGAAAGAGGGTATCACTGACAGCAAGTAACAAAAGCGAAAGTGTTACCTTGAACTGTCGCTGCACTTTGTCTCGTTCTGACTCAAACACAGATGCTCGAGCAAGCGCCTCTTGCTCTGCCTCAAGAGCAGCATCCCGCTCAGCCCTCATGCGTGTGCAGGTCTTCTGAAGTGCCAACAATTCAGCTCGGAGTCTCTTATTCTCCGTCTCCAACTTTTGCTCTTTCTTTTGCATGTTAGCGATCTCATTGTCTTTGTTGAGTCTGTACATCTCAAAATCTTTGCGTATTCGCTCAACTTCAGGGTTTTCCAAGTCCATAGACAATGCAGATCTGTTTAACAGCAAAGAAACACAGAGCTTTACAAGATTGGAGAAATAGTTCGAAATTTCTTTGTTTACAAAATATCGCTTTACCAAATGGATTAGAAAAGAAAGAAAATTCATATGAAACAAATTGACAATTTTGTAATTTTCCATAAAAATATTGAATATCATCATAAAAACTAAGGACCCTCGGCAGGCAAAAGAAAAGAATTCTAAAAGCCAACATGTTTGACAAATCTATTACATTTCTTCATAAAAAAAACCCATTGCATATACATCTGTTACAAAAAGGATGAAATTTATACATATAGAAATTTTAGAATGAGCTCAGAGAATTCACATCAGTTCTATTTTTCAAGAAATAATTTCTTTAGCTTTAAGATGAAAAGTAAGGAAACTAAAAAATAATAATGAGATTTTAAAAACAAATTTCAATAAATCCCATTCTTTCCTCACCGAAGACTTCCTCCTTTTGGTTTACTGCGACCCAGAGACCCTACACTGCGTAGACCGAGTTTCCCACGAGGTTTGATTTCTATCGGGATTCTCTTCAGCACTCCATTGGTGCCCTCTAAGTCAGATCCCAAAATGTCCTCATCATCATGAGAACGCATAAAGGAGCTTCCTGTACCCATGGCTGGTGGTGAAAGTTGTTCTCTGCCAGGAGTCAAGAAGTATTGCACACTTCAAAATTGCTGTCAAACACACACTAATTAAATTCATCTGCAACATGATAAGGAAAACCCCCCCAACTTAAACATGAAAAGACTCCTGACAGGATAGAAGTCATAATATGAGACCAAAAAAGGAGAAGTAGAGTCATTAGTTTTCACACCAGGCCAAGATTACACTGGGATCACAAAATTAAAGCCTTTGCAGACATATTCTATCACATCTACTGGCACTGAGAAGTCAAAGTCGGTCACATGATGTATTAAAAAAAATTAGAGAGATGAGAGATGACACATCAATGAACTTATCCTGCGTTCAAATTACTTGAATTACTTGAATCTAGAACTGGGGTCTTAGGAGGACGGGATGCTCCATGCTTCCTCGCACCTCCTCATGAGGGTCCATTTCAGTGTGGGCAGGCTGATTGTCTCCATCATCAGCCGGGTTTTGTAGCGTCTGATCATCTGATGGGATCACGCAGCCTGCTCTTCCAACCTTCACCAAGCTGCACACCTTTCGCAATCACAGCCTCCTTCGTGAAGGAGTCCTCGTCACGGCAGCTGGTTAGGTTTTCTCGGACAAGGGCTACTACAGTTGGAGGGTCAAGGGTGAGCACTCCCTCTATGTTTGCGGAGCCTGCTAGCTTATCAGCTCTTTCATTTCCCTTGACTTCTGCATGTCATGGGCAAAAGATCCACTGCAAGAGTCTGATTTTGCTCTCTTGGATTGTCTTAAACCAATCTGCATAGAGGCTGCCAGTCAAGATCTTATCCAGAGTACTCATTGAGTCTGTAACAAAGGTAGCCTGCTGGTATCCATTTGTGCAAAGCCATTTCAGAGCCTCAGTGATGGCCTTGATCTCCATGCACAAGCTTGATGTAGTGAGGCCCGTTGCTCTAGATGCCTCCTGGACTGTTACTCCATGGCAAGACACCGTGTAAGCCCAGCCCCCTTCTCTTTTGACTTTTTGCGTTTCGTTTCTAAGTGCTTTGCTTTCCCCTTTCATTCAATATATATATATGCAGTCAAAATATTAGACAAGTGACACTTGCGTCCTCCTGATTCTTTTTTGTTTTAAATATTTAAAATTAATCATAATAAATTATGTGGAGTTTTATTTGAGAACTTTGCAAAATCGTTTGTTTGTTTGTGTGTGTGTGTGTGTGTGTGCGTGTGTGTGTGTGTGCATGTGTGTGTATGTTGTTTTAGCGTGTGTGCATGTGTGGTGTGAAGGGACTTTTATCTATCTTGGATATATATACCTCTCTCTCCCCCTCTCCCTCCCTCTCTCTCTCGCTCTCTCTCTTTCTTTGCCACTCTCGCCTCTATGTGTGTATATATAATAATATGATGTATGTATGTGTTTGTGTGTGTTTCCAAGCGATCGGCAGATGGCGCAATTCTTGCTTGCTTTGCACAATCTTAAGATCGCGCAGCTCTATTCATTTTCAGAAATAATCCGTAGATGGCGCGCCCATCTTGAAATGGCCGCACTTTCTGCGGATCGTCATAATATGGTTCTGCGCCATCTTAAGATCGCGCTGATCGGCAAATGGCGCTTGACAGTAACGGTAACGCCACGGCTTATAAAAATAATCTGTGGGTATCCCAGAATGTGATGACATCACATTACTAAAATTAGCAGCCAATCAGGAAGATGCGCCCTTCTACATTTAATCGCATGTGAAAACTGACCCTTCGTTAGAGTCTATATGGTCATAATCGTGGAAGTCATTGCAGACTTGCCAACTTTTGAGATACTGAATTCTGGAATTTTGAATGCTCCTGAGCGCCACGGACACACACTTCTGTGATAGACTAAAAAAAACACCCACACCACAAAAACAGCTCAAACAAACCAGTGGAGAAACGGAGAGAGAGAGAGAGAGATGAGAATGTAACTGTACAGTTACTACACTGTCTACACATATATACCCCTTCGTCCATGCCTTCGAGTTTTGGTTTTTCTAAGAAAAAATACCCATTATATTATTTGGGAGGACTTCCGTAACGAGCGACCACTATGAGACAGAGCAGAATTGAGGGCTTGGGGTAGGGGTAGGGGTAGGGGTAGGGGTAGGGGTAGGGGTAGGGGTAGGGGTAGGGATAGGGGTAGGGGTAGGGGTAGGGATAGGGGTAGGGGTAAGGTTAGTATTAGGGTTAGGGGTAGGGTTAGGGGTAGGGTAGGGTTAGGGTTAGGTCTAGACCTCTTCTTTATTGTTTGATGGGATGGTCGCTCGTTACGGAAGTCCTTCCCATTATTTGCGCTGGCGTCTCGGGAAAGGTTTGGGAACGATGGTGGCAATTCTGGAATTTCCTGAAAAATTCAGGAAGGTTGGCAAGCCTGTCATTGTCATAGTGATCAAGAATGAATATATGGACTGACCAAGAATGAGGAGGTCCTCTGTGCACTTCCAATGATCACTTGTACTGACTCTGCAGCTGCAAGTAGTGCAAGCTTGTCTCTAGATTCTAGATCTAGATTATCTAGACTCTAGATCTAATTACTGGAACAAACAGTTGAGTAGGCCCTTGGTTAGGGCTAGATTCTAGGTCCACTTATTTTTAAGTCTAAGTCTAAGTAAGACCTTACCTCTGATTATCTCGTACTCGTACTATTTACCAGAAATCCGCAGGCTCACTATCTTGAAAGAACGTACCTAGACCTACTGAACAGGCTACGTTTAGCCTAACTAACCCATTTTGTTTAGGTTATGTTATAGATCTAGATCTAGATCTAGTAGATCTAGCTCTAGAGATCTAATATAATCTAGATTCTAGAAGGCCTTCAATATTATTGAGACCAAGTTCTTTCCAATTCTTGCGAAGTTTGTACAGCAGTTTAAAATCATGAGCTCTTGCTGTTTGCAGAGAGTTGCTACACAGCAGTCAAACTTCCGGTTCACTCCTACTCTCCCAGGTTGGTCTAGCTAGCCTAGATGTTGAAAATTATGTTACCGGTACCGTCAATTATTATGAATGAAAGCGCTTCAAAAAAGTCTTTCAATTTTTCAAATAATAAATATTTGTACGCCGAGATTCATAATATGCAAAAAGGAATGGTTTAGCAGGTGAGCCGGGCTATGATAAGACTTAATGAGTGTTGATGCTTTGACAAAAATTAAGAGAAATTCACAATTTAGACACAGTCCAAATGATATAAATTTGTACAAAATCTGGGAATTATAATTTTACTTTCGTTTTCCATTTGTGTGAATTGTGAATGAGACGACACAGTGAGACAAACACAGTGCGAGTGCACACACAGTGACAATCAAATTCAGACAGTCCAAATGATATAATCTAAATTTTCACAAGATCAGGGAATTATAGATCTAGATTTAGATCTAGAAATATAGATCTAGATCTAGATCTAGATCTAGATTCTAATTTTACTTTTTTTTCCCCATGTGAATGTGACACATTTTATAGTGTGATTGGAACCGAAAAAAAAAGTTTAAGATCTAGATTCTAGATTTAGATCTAGATCTAGATCTAGTCTAGATCTGTATCTAGATTCTAGATCTAGATTTATATCTAGATCTAGATCTAGATCTAATCTAGATCTAAATCTAGAGTCTCGATAGATCTTGATCTAGAGACTAGATTCTAGATCTAGTCTAGATTCTTGGCAAAGGGAGGTTTTTACCACAACTTTTAATGATGACAATGACATTGATTATATGTTAAATGTGTACAATGATTGAGAATGAAAGGCCAGAAAGTTGAGAAAGGTTAAAACTAAAAGTTGATAAAGTGTCTAACTAATCACTGATAGTGATAGTGGTAGGCTTGGCCCTGGTCTTACCTCCGCCTCTTTTTTAAAAACGTTTATTTTTACTCACTAGTCACTAGATTTCTACTACATGTTACTTTGTGACTAATTCGCATTCCCATTATAGCGTAAACTTTAACCTTGTTGAACTTGTATGTGTGTGTAGATCTATGTTTAGACAATTTGTTATACTTATTACCATCATCCACTTGCAGTATAGATCCAAACAGCGAGAAGTATATATATATATATTTCAGATGTTCTGTTCAGTCTGAGAGATTGGAGATTGAGATGATGTCTGACACTGACGACATAGCAGAGATCTGTCTTCAGTCTTCCCTGACCAGTAAAACGTGGGACCCAGGAGATGGTGTCATTTCAGAGGCCATTTATTTTGATCACCTCCCATCTTATGAACAGATGTTTCAGAAAATTCTGCTGAAAAATCAACTCTGCATCATCGGCCCTTTTGTGACAGCAGCTTGGCCCAGCAGACAACTTTGGGTACAGAAAAATGGAACACCTAATTTTGAATACATCGGGAAGCATTTTGGTAAGGGAAAGAAGAAATATAGTCAGTGGTCCCAGTGACTGTCATTTTCTAAATACAGTGGAGTCCTGTTTATAACGAGAGGGAGGGGACCGGTGCAAAATGTCCATCATAGCAAGATTCTCGCTATCAGGGATCCAGTAATAAATTCAAGGGAAACTGTAAAGTAGGCCTAATCTATGAGTTTGATGTTCTGTTTATTTCCTTTTGCTATCTCCCCTGATGATGATTTTGTTTCAACATGACCTCTAGGTCTTACTTGATCAAAAATCGAATCAGGTTTCTTTCTCTAGCGCTAGCGATGTTGACTGACAGCTCGGTGTTGGCGATCAGAAAGAAAGGGCTCTAAGGCTAACTCGCCTGCTGTGTTTCCCCCCACCCCACCACACCCTGTCACCATCGCTAGCATTAGAGAAAGAAATCTGATTCCATTTTTGATCCAATAAGACCAAGAGGTCATGTGAAGCAAAATCATCATCAAGGGAGATAACAAAAAGAAATAAACAGAATTCCAAACTCATAGATTAGGTCTGCTTATTTCCCTTGAATTTATTACTGGATCCCTTATAACGAAAATCCTGCTATAACAGACAATTTGCACGAGTCCCCTCCTTCTCATTATAACAGGATTCCACTGTAAATATGTCACACAAAGAAGACTGAGCTTCATGGTAAAAATAAATTTATAGGACAAATCACTCGGCAAACAAGTGACTCTTCTGTTGAAAGTTTATGTTGACGTCCATGGTTATCAGCTGGAAAAATGAGGGCAGCTAATTTCACCTATGATTCGTGACTGATCCGCAGATGGTTCAGTTGTGGGAGGGGCTAATGACCTAATGTATTCTGATGGTTGTCTACCTCCCTTGCTTTGGTTTTCCTTACTTAAGCGATGGTTTACACCCAACAATGCTTTAACATAACGTCGGCCTTGGGATATAACCGGCTAACCCCAGCGAGGCAAATCTTACAGGAGAAGGAAAAAACTGTTTTATTTCAAAACGAAGGTGTTTAACGATAAACCAGTGCGTCAAACACCTATAGATAAAAACACTTTACCGAAAAACTGTAGACCTTTTTTTTCCTTAAAAAATCGCTTTTAATGAAACTGCGTGGGTTAGACGGTTATGTCGCTCAAATTTTCCCCGATAAAACCGACCAACCCTCAATTTTGTGAGTTGGCCGGTTTTACCAGGAAGCCACTGCTGGCCTCGAATTTGATTGAGTGCAGCCAAGCCACACTTGACTGTCACGTATTTGATCAGTTCTTTCAATCGTCGTGATCTTTTGAAGAAGAAGAAGGAGTAGGAGAAAGAAGGAAGAGGAGGAGGACGATATTACTGCTACCAACATACTATCAGCTGCTGCCATTTCAGTGCTACGGAGTCAATTCTGGCAAAAACAGCAGTCACAAATTGGAACATTTAATTGAAGTAGAAGAAGCAGAACACAGCAATGGGTATATTAATTATATTTGAAGTAGAAGAACAGGAGGTTCGAATGGTAAGGGAGAGCAGCTACTGCAACAACAACAACCACAACCACAACAACAAAAACAACAGTAGTAGCAGTAGCATCAGCAGGCCTTTAGAATTTATGACAGTGTCTGACACGGTACTATTGGCACTGGGTGGCCTTTCAAATGCCTGGAAAAAAGTAATACTAAGAAAGAAATGAAAGCAGAAAGCCACACAGAAGCTCTGCTACCTCTGCAATGGTTTGGGTGAAGTTGGCTTCCTAATAATATATTATTATACAAAAAGACTTTGTAAGTATCAAAGAATGCGCCAACTTTCTTGAAGGTGTGTGGCTTGACAACTACTACTACATTATAATTGAGTTTTCTCAACAGTAGAAGAGCATGTCTGTCTCACTCTGTGGCTATAACAAGGCAATACGACAAAAGTTACCATTGTTTTGAAAGACTCAATAATCGGATTTGACTTGATCGCTTTCAAAACTTCTTACTGAGGCAAAGTTTCATGGTAATTGTGGTAGCATCGTGGTACGACGGCCTTCAACTCCAGTAGATGTTTAAGCTGGTTGGCAGTTATCTTCAATCTGTCTTTGCAGAGAGGTCCAGCAATAACCGTCGTACATTGGGTGTTCAGCTTTCTTAGTCCTTGCAGCGTCTGCCATCCATCATCAAAGTTCAGCTTGTACTGAATGTAAAGTATGGAGTGTACTTTGATGTCTGCAAGTCAGTGACAGTAGGATCGCCTGCTTTTCTCCCTGGACGGATTGTTTAGTGCTCTCCGACCTTTGCAAAATCTTTGAAAAAGCTGTGGCCAAGGTACATAACTTCATAGGGCCTGGGGATGCGTCTAGCTTGGAGCATGATGTTCACGTAGTCCATTGGGATGTACATCAGTGCGTTTTAGAGTCATCGCTCAATAGTGCTATGGACTGAATCCAACTCCATTTGGGTATGGCCCTTGGTGAGAATTTCTGCTCAACTTTGATGTTAAGCTCTTTGGCCAGCGAGGTCATTGCACTCACCAGGGTGGCATTTCTGTGTTGGTAGTTGCAACAGTCACTGCAAATGATGAGGTGGTTGAAGCCAGTCGCTTGCAATATCAGTTAGTGCGTCAGACATGATGAAAACTGTTGAAGCTCAGACCAACTTCACTTTCATCCCAGACATATCATCAGGCGTCTCTGGTGGCAAAATCCTAAATTGTAAAATTGTGTTTTGCCAGTTTTGTCATATAATATAAGGTGGATGTCTTTAGTAATGAGGCCAGAAGGACGCACTGGATCCCCGTACAAAGGACACACATTTTGTTCTCTGGGTCCAGCGCCGCCTCCCTGTCCTTCTCTTTCTCTTGTCTAGCTGCCGCTTTCCTCATATTCATATTTGATGAGCTGTGTATTCTGTTTCTGTGAGGTTTCCTAATTCGAAGCTGGTGCAAATGTCACACTGGTCTTTCTTGGTTGAATGTGAACCCAAATTGTTTTTCTTGAACTTTTGGTAGAACACTTGATAGCTCAATGTGGCTTTCTCCCTCTCTGCAAAGTTCTCCATGTATACTTGATGCAAATCTGACGTTTTTCTGGATTGTCATCCGTAGACAGGAGGATATCTTCGAAAGTGTCAAAAAATTCCTCTTTATGGAACAACTTGTCATCCTTGGCTCTCTCTCATGGTGGGCGTGATATGTTTTAGATTTAGAGAGGGGGGAGGGGGGGACCTCTTGTTGTTGTTTTTTTTTCTGGGAATACACTTTAAATAAACCAGTTGGTCAGGCCTGTGGTGTTCATGAAGATTGTTTTACAAATAGGTGTTCCTTGACCATTGACTCTTTTAAGTGATATTGAATGATGTAATTTCTATTTGGGTTTTCACTTGCTGTGTAAGATCTCTTTTTGTCTATCCTGTGTATCATGGCATATACGTAGTTTCTCTTTTCTTTCCAAGAGAGTGACCAGTGATGTCATTGCATTTTGTACCAACCAGTTTACAACAGCAAAGGACGTCAAGTTCACACCCTGCTGGCTTCGTGCCTTGACATGTGTAGAGGCATCCCCAGTTCTTTCAACCTCTTCCTTTTGTTACCCTTCCAATCGTTTTCAAGCCGTGTCCTTTTCGCAGAGATCAAAAGTAACACAACTGTTGTATTATCAGCTGATGTAACATTAGCCTGGTCATGCTGATCACTTTCCATTGCGCTGAGGGTCAGAGGTGACGTAGCAAGCGTGGCATCATCTTATTGAATGTTATAGCGTTACATGTAAGTTAAGGTTTGATAAAAAGATAAAGCATTATGTTATGACACTGAGAAAATAATCTATACAAAACGCAAACGAAATGAACTTTCAAAGAAAATCGAAAGATGTTTCAGAAGGTAATGACTGCAATAAACACTGCAAATGAAAAAAAAAATTTTTAACTTTAAAAGAAAACGATCGTTGGGGGCAGACGGTGTGCTGGACAGGTCCCACATTTTCTTTCAGAGTGAGTTTCAGTTAGTAAAGAATGAAAAGCTATCGACTTTGTCCATTCAATTGCAAAGGAAAAAATGATTAGGAGAAGAGACAGTAGTCCGAATAAGGGAAAATGCCTTCATAATTCGGTAACTTTCAAGTACAAAGACAAAGAAGAACACGTGGACAGAAAAAATAGTTTCATATAAAACACAATCCATTATAAAGATGCGTTTGAAATACCGGCATTATCACGAGATAAAAACAGTTCTGTGGGTACAGTGGGGAGTTTTAGTCATTAATAACATTATCAGCAGCATTAAAAAGAAAAAAAAGAGGGAACAACCAGATCTATATAACTCCCAAATGAAACCAACAAGAAATATTACACAAACTTCCCTTTTGAAGAGCTCACACATGGTTACGTGAGCGAATTCTAGACTATCAAACGAAGTCCTGAGACGAGTCGAAGCCGGGGTTTGTCGGTAACGTAGCACGTGGCCCCTCATTGTTAGCGTGACAAAAACAGTCAACCCTCATTCCCTCCCTCGCAGGTGGGATAGTCGGAAACATCGGGCTAAAATCCGATGGATGCCGGGTTATACGGTTTTATTTCTAATGTTTTAAAGACATTTCTAGACAAAATTTAGATCTGACTATGAGTTAGCATATGAAATGGACAATTTGCTATCGATAGGGCCAATAAATTTTTTTTGGACATTTTGTGGGTTAATCGGATTTATCACCAGGCCGACGATAATTAACTGAAAGAAGTCAGAGAAAAGGGCATGGTGGTCACGTCTTTATTCTATATTACTTTAGTTAGGTGGTGTTATGAAAATATTATTTATTGTTCTTTGATTGGATGGTTCTTTGGGTGCCATATGATTAAGGGACAAAAATGCTTTCTATTCGAATTTGAAAATTTATTAACAATGCAGCGAGAACTTACCTTTGATTGTCACCTTTGTCCTCAGGGGATGCAACAGCTCCAGTTGCTGATTGTAGTGGTGAAGAATTTTGTTCTCATCCCAAATCAGAAATGAAAGTTCAAGAATTTTTGACATACTGGCAGGATTACGCAGAAAAGGGGTATCCAGCCAATGAAAAATGCCTTTACTTAAAGGATTGGCATTTTACTCGGTGAGCTTTGTAGAAGTTAGAACTGTCAGTGAAAACAAATAATCTTACAATGTTGATTGGGGTGTTAAACCTATGCAACTTGCTACTTAAATAAAAAGCATAATTTAGTCATGCCTGCCACATGACATAGGCCTACAAACATGCAGGTTTCGGAGAAATTTCATATAATTGGAAAAAAATTGTATTTCAATCTCTAAGCTGGATCAGTTTGAGCCAACCATTCTGGACAGTCTGTTTCTTGTGTCCATTTGCACAGAAATTTTATTTCTGTTCTTATATTATGCTTACATTATGGTGAAGGGTATCAAGTTTTCTTCTTTTTTCTTGTCTCCATGAAGATATAGATCTATATTATGCGTTTTCTACTTGCTTCTTTACACAGTGATTTCCCAGATTCCAAGGTGTACACTCCCCCAGCATTTTTGTGCTCTGATTGGATAAACGAGTTCTGGGACTCTGCAGTGGAAGAAACTGCTGAGGACGATTACAAGTTTGTGTACATGGGACCTCGTAATTCATGGACACCCTTCCATGCTGACGTGCTCCATTCCTACAGCTGGTCTGCCAACATTTGTGGTCGCAAAATGTGGATATTTTATCCTCCAGGTATCAGTACCCATTATTCTAAATAAAACTGAGCTATTTTTCTGGATGGAGTGAGGTTAGAACTATAATAAAATATGTAACTGTGAATTCAGATAACTATTGTAATTGTATGCCTTTCTACATTTGCTTCCTATTTTTCTCATTGAGAGAAGTTTGAGAGTAAAGATTTACTGTTGCTTTTGTAGACCGTAAGCACTGGATTTTTATTGTTTGTACCTTACTTTAATCTTATGCTTTGGACCCTGATTGGTTCAAAGTTCTTATAGGGTTAGGATTGGAAAAGGTGTTTTTCAGTCTTGCAGTTTTAAAATTAAAGCTTCAGAAGAATGGGTGTTGGATAGTTTCAGTGGAATTATCTAGTCTCATTCTGAAAGTTTATGAGGGCTTTTGTTTTCAGGTGGAACATTATGACATGGTCAGTTCTTTCAAAGACTTTTTGATTAATGCAGTCTCTTTTTTGGATTTTGTAAATATACATGGTTGAAGACTTGTTTTCCAGTTAATCCCCTTTGCCCCCAGCACCCCTTGCCCACATGATTATCCATCCATCTTTTTCATTCACAGGAGCAGAAGCAGGTCTCCGGGACAGACATGGTCAGTTGGTGTTTGACCTTCGCAGCTCAGAGCTGAAAGATGACCTCACATTCTCCAACGCCTCGAGGTCATCTGGTGCTGCTATCACCGTTATTCAGGAACCAGGGGAGATAATCTTTGTCCCAAGTGGCTGGCACCATCAGGTCTTCAACTTGGTCAGTGCCTTTTTTTACTCTGTTTAACTCTTTTATCTCCAAGGGGGGTATGGCACTATGCCTGGGCTCTTTTCGGTACGAAATCTTGGAAGTTGAAAGTGACACAAACATCACTAAACTGGTCATTAAATCAAAACAGGTGATCCTATTCCCATAGTTCTTTATCAAATGAATGAACTCTCGGTAAAGAAGACCTGTTTTTTGACAAATGGTGCAAAGTAATCATTGTAATGAAATGTACCCGAGCCACTACCGGCTTCACCCTGGCACAACTGTTCAGACCATGAGCCGCTGGGAGTGGTGTGTTGGAGATAAGGAGTTAAAGTCAATTTCTTATTGCCTCACATTGACATTTTTAACCTTTCTCTCAGTAGTGTGCCAGTTCTATGCTTTCTGTGTCTTCTCTGTTCTTTGCTTCTTCTGGCCATGTCTGCGCCTGTTCTAGTTCTATACATATTGTTGGCAAGCTGTTCAAATGTTCTAAGCCCAGAAAGCTAAGGCTTTCAGGAGAGAGAAAACACTGTTTTATTATTTTAACAATTATACCTATTCTGTATCTTTTCTTGACCTTTTCAACATTTAGAATTTGAATTTTGACAATTTAAAATATTTCTTGAGTACATGCAACTAACACAGACACCACAAACTATATAAGAAACTGTAAAAAAAAGCAACATTCTCATATTTTTGGGCTTAGTCCTACATCTAAACAGCCGGCCGAAGACATGATGTAACCTGCAGTGGTACTGAACCTTTTCCACTGTGCCTGTTGTGTGCCTGAAGATAATGTTAAATGCAGTTGAGATTGTCCAAGACGTCGCCCATTGTCAAGGAAAAAAAGGGGTTTTCTTAGACAGGGGAAAATCTTGGATAGTGTCATTTCAACATAGTAAAATTGCGAGGGAAATGGGAAGCGGTGGGTTGGACAAGTGATTATCTTGGACAGGTGGCTGGTAGGGCAGGTGTGACTGAAGGAAGTTTTGGCCATTACACCTTTTTTCTGTGAAGCGTCTGTGGAATACTTGTCTTTCACCTGAACACTGCCTGTGCCAGACCAGTGCCGCACACCTGTTCTGTACCTAAACTTTGCTGTCCTGTACCTTTTCAGTACCTGTTGTGTGCCTGAGTGGGTTATTGGTGGGCACTCTGTTTTGGTTTGCTCCTTCTTTCCTTTCCAATATCCTTTGTCCTTATCTCTAATCTTGACTTATTTGTGTTGCAGGTGCCATAAAACTCTCGCTAAAACTAAACTAAAAAGTCTGTCTAGGGATAAGTTGTTACTTACACTTCATTTTGGTTATTTATGAACGCCAAAAGCACCTTGACCCACATAAATAAGAATTATTTTATTGGGACAGCTGGGAAATTGTGACAATTGATGTAATGAAACGGATACAAAACCTTTCGCCTCTAACTGTTTTGGGTGAGTGCAGACACAAACTGATGACACTGAGAAGAACATTGTCAACACAGCTGTGCCCCCTCAGAATATGTTACTGATATCAAAATAAGGTTTAGAATTCTTTTTGTTACTCTCTGTAGCTAATTTGTTGTTGTTGTTGTGTTGTGCTGTTCTTTTACTGCAATTTGCCCTGGTTGTTATGTGCTTGCACTGTCTCTGTACCACCCCTGTACCTTATTTGTGGGTGGTTGGAGATCGTCAACAGGGTATACTTCCTTCATCTTATCTCTCGTTCTGATGTTTCTCAGTCTGTTTATCCTGCTTTTTTATGCTCTAAGTGGGTTTGATTGTGTCAATGTACTTTACTTTTTCAATGTAAACTGTAGCTGTGTAGTTGTCATAATAATATGTGAGGCAGCGTGGTGAAATCAGGTGCTCGTCAAAATAATGAAAGTCAAGAAACTGGCAATTTTCCATAGGTTTGGGAATTTTTATCGAATTTATGTTTTTTTAGCTCAACACCTTTCATGCCCATAAAAGAACCCATTATTGTATGTATTTTTTACTGAAAAACGTTGATTAAATGCATGAAAGATGTAAGATTTAAGTTTCCACAGACTCTCCAGCTAATATGTGTATGCAGCAAGAGCAACTCAAAATCAATTACAATATCAATAATGCATGTGATAATAATGGGAATTTATGTAGCATCTAATCCCCAGAAAGCTGTAAGCGCTGCAGAATGCAAAATAATCTCTCAACTCAACGGACAAATAAAAAATCAGAGAATACACATTGTGAGACCATTTTCTCACATAAACACAAACACACACATGCTCACACACACAACTCCCAGACCAGCAGTAAGAACTTGATTTCTATCTGCAAGATAAATAATGTCTGGATCATAACTACATGTACTTTATTAGCAATAACCCTTGCATGTGGGTGGTTGGCAGGTGCTCTGGTGTGGTTTGCTCCTTCTTTCCTATAAAACATCTATCGTCTTTATCTCCCCTCCTTCTTTTTTGTGTTTGTTACTCCCTTGTAACACCTCTAATCTTCGGCTCTTGTATGACCTTATTGTGTTACAAGTGCATTAAAACTCTCACGACCCCCCCCCCCCCCCCCCCCCCCCCCACTCGAAAACCCCCAACCCAGAGCAAACAAAACCCCATATAAACACAAACACACATGCTCACACACGCAACTCCCAGACCCGCAGTGAGAACTTAATTTCTAGCAGCAAGATACCGGTAATGTCTGGATCATAATTACATACTTGATCAGCAACAGCTCTTGCATGTCGTTATCTAACATCTTCCTTTTCTGACGTCATAGGAGGACACAATTTCCATCAACCACAACTGGACAAACGGATGTGGGGCTCATCTCTCGTGGGCGTTCTTAAAGTCTCGTCTCACTGCTGTCCAGAAAGAGATAGAAGATTGTCGGGCCATGGACGACTGGGATCTCCACTGCCAGGTAAGTGTGTGTTATTAAGTGATTCAGATTTTAATTTTTAGGCATCTTTGAAGTGATCAACTTTGAAGGCCAGGTTAGGTGCAACTTTTTGCTGTTACTGTTTTGTGTTAGTATTTGCGTGTGGAATGGGTGTAATGTAAACATTTGAAAACCTTCTCAAATGTTTGGAGAAGACTGCCTCTGCCTCTCATTTTGAAAGCGTTTTCAAACAGGGTCCCATCTCTGAAATTTTGAGGCTAGTGGGACTTAGTCTCAAAAGGACAAATAGACAAGAAATGTTAACATGCCCCCTTGTGTAGGCTTAAATATATGTAGTCATGGAAATGGTATGCTATTTGAAGCACACTTGTGTTAGGGAAGTTGGCCAAGATGATACGCCACAGTGAATTATTTAACCCATGTACAGTATAACACGGATAAATCAAATTCATCGGGACCGGCCTCTGTAGTTTGAGGAATGCGTAGTTTGAGGTATTTCTTACAAAGATAGAATAGAAGAAAAAAAGGGGGACCACAGGCTCAGTTTGACGGATGCGTGATTTCAAGTCTTCTGCGCTCGATCTGTCTGTGCTATACTCTATATATCTGAGCACAGATGTGTGTGGGAGGGGGGTTATCTTTATGGAAATGTTGCTCCTGACGGTGTCATCATCATAATTGCCTTTCTCACCCTGGACCAGTGTATAGGCCATGGACAAACACTTTCCACTTTTCTTTATTCTGGGCTAACTTCTTGATGTTATTCCATGTCTTCCCGCTTTTCTGTACATCAATTTCTGTGATTCTTCTCCTGGTTCCACGCGGTCTTCCCCTTGATATCTTACCCTGTGGATTCCAATCAAACGTTTTCTTTGTTCTGCAGCTGCCTGACTTCCTTAGAGTATGTCCAATCCATCGCCACCGCCTTCTTCCTATCTCATCTCTGACTGGTGACTGGGATCTGCCTTGTTTTCCTTTACATTTCCTCGTTGGTGACCCTGTCGGTCCTTCTGATCCTCAGTAACTTTTTAGACACTTGTTCAAGAAAACCTCGATCCTCTTTATGCAAGTCTGTGATACGTTCCATGTCTCCGATCTTGATGGTGTACTATGGATTTATTTGCCACAAACCCTCTCCATCCTCCCCCACCCCCCACCCCCCAACTCCCCAGCCCATACCCCCTTTCCTCACTCCTTTCTCCACTCTCAGCGATGGTGGTATGTTTACATATAGTCTCATACTAGGTTTGTTGGAGGTTGCTGGGTGCTTTGGTGTGGTTTGCTCCTTCTTACCTATCAACATCTGTCGTCCTTATCCCTGCTCCTTTTTTTTTGGTGCTTGTTACTCTCATGTAGCACCTCTAATCTTCAGCTCTTATATGACCTTATTTATTGCTAGTGTCACAAAATGCTTACTAAATTACTAAACATAACTAAGTTTTCTAACTTTATGCGTCATTCTGTGGAATCCACCTTAACTGAAATCGGTAGGACCGCCAGAATTTCTTCAGTTTAGCCGTGTTTTCTGTTTAGAAAGATTGCTCAATTAATGAAAAGAAAAGTACAGCATTGTATTTTTTCTCAGTTTACTGCTGTTTTCAGATGAACTATGTTTGGTTAAAAGCTGACTCCAATGCAGTTGTAACGAATGAGAGTGTCTTTTTTGCTATTTTCCTAGCCTGCTTGCTATTTTTTGTCATTTCCCCCCCCCCCCCCCCAGTTGATCCTGAAATCAGACAGTGGAATGGATTACAAAGATTTCTTCAATTTCTTGTCTGTAATTGCTGAGCACAGAATTCTGGCTCTGCGCCAAGAGTGTGTGACTGATGTCTGTGATAGGAATGGCTCAAGGTCGTGGAATCAGAGGCCAGGCAAAGAAAGTGGGCGGTGTTGTCTGTGTTTGCTAACATCAGAGCAGTTTTGTGGTGCAGTCTCTGGCAGTGAAAGCACGCATGAGGACGTTTGTGATGGAGGTAACGCTCATGCAAGTAGGAGGACATACTCTCCTTGTAAAGATGAAGCTCATATAGATGTAGCCCCTTCAGAACTGTCGTCCCCAGCACAACGTCATGCAGAAGAACTTGCTGAGAAAAAAAGGATTTCTGACATCTTGACTGTTGGTGGAAATAATCATTTAAACTGCCCTCATTGGGCCCACAGTGGTCCAAATCTGGCTGTGTTTGACCTTCGGCGGATTAAGGTCATTGTGCACAACATGCTGGAACAGTCAGAGTTCAAGGCCGTCCTGCCTCAGTTGACTTCCGAGCCTAGAGAGCTGATTTTGAACATAGACAAGGTTCTTGATTGCCATAGGTGATTAATAAATAATTTATAGCCTATTTTTATATTTTAAAGGTGAACTTGTTTTTGTTGTGTTTTAAGTGACGAGTGTAGTTGCTGTGTAGTTTGTTTTGTGTCGTTGTTCGTGAAAATTGTTTTTCTTTGGGAGACCAAGTGTTTCACTTTCTGGTTGGTTTCTTTTGGTCTAATGGTGCATTAAACTGACACAAGAGTCCAGTCTCATTTTATGGCTTAATCTGCAAACATTCTAATATTTTTATATTAAAGTTATAGCGGGTTAATTTTGTCCCTAGACCCGCTCAGGGTCTCAATAATTTCTTCACTGTTTTCTCATATACTGGGTGTATCTTTTGCTCAGCTGATATCATGCTAGACTATGGAATGGACAGCCTTTGTTTTTGAAAGTAAGTCATTTTTGGGGAGTTTTCAAGGCTCTCAACAAATTTGACTCGGTCCTATCAAAGATGGACATTAAATTCAAAGGTCACACTCTTAAACCTATGTAACCTAACACTAACAGTGTTGAAAGTAGGAACATCAAGAACATCAATGGTGCCAGGTTTAGGAGCGATTTATCGGAAAGCACAAAGACTATACAGTGGAAACCACGTATAACAGGGATGGTGAGACCAAAGAAAAAGTCCTGATATATCTGATCACAGTTAAATCAAAAATGCAAAGGCAGTAAGCATTTGTGGACTAATCCAGCTGTATTTATTCATAGGTAGTTTCCCTTGCCACAAGTACAATGTACCCACGAACAGGGGTTTGGGCCATGGGGCAGGCCTGCGCATGACACATTACGCGTGCCTGAATGAGTGGGTCGGATTATATTGTATGGATGAGTGAGTGAGTGAGTGGGTGGGTTGGTTTAACTTTGTAGTGTGTGGATGAGTGAGTGGGTCGGTTAGTAGTGTAGCGGTGTGAATGGATGAGTGGGTCGATTTGTAGTGTAGCCTGTGGATTGGTAAGTGAGTGGGTCGGTTTGTAGTGTGTGGCTGGATGAGTGGGTGGGTCAGTTTGTAGTATGTGGATGAGTGAGTGAGTGGGTCGGTTTGCAGTGTCTGGATGAATGATTGAGTGAGTGGGTCAGTTTGTAGTGTGTGGATGAGTGAGTGAGTGGGTCGGTTTGTAGTGTCTGGATGAGTGAGTGAGTGGGTCAGTTTGTAGTGTGTGGATGAGTGAGTGAGTGGGTCGGTTTGTAAGCCTCTGTACGTGCGCACGTATATTGTGTGGCTGGTTGAGTGCGTTCATAGCTGTGTATCTTTGTGCTTGATGGTGTTTGTTTGTGTGATTATGTGTGTGTGCGTGTGTGTGTGTCTTTTTAAGTGAATAATAACTTTAGGTGAAGCCCTTCGAAAGGCTGAAAATAGACAGGAATGGAGAAATGTGGTTGCTCAACCATTCTTGGTACCCCAAGGTTTATCTAGAATAAGGGATACACAAAGTAAAGTAACGATATATATGGGGGCTCTCGTGGCCTAGAGGTTAAGATGTTCGCTTCTCTTTTAAAGGTCCCGGGTTCAAATCCGGGTGGCGACAGAAAAATGTTCTATCTATCTATCTATCTATCTATCTATCTATCTATCTTCCATCTATCTATCTATCTATCTATCTATCTATCTATCTATCTATCTATCTATCTATCTATCTATTTATATATGTATATAGCGAGGGTTCCCACAGAGCCAAACCTTCACGGTACCCCACATACTCGCCAACAATTTCCTAAAAACTGACGCCAAAAGGTCAAAATCCATTAGCAGTTTTCCAAATATTTTGCCGCTTGTCTTCATGAATTAGCACCCTGCCTAGTTCCTTAAATGTCGACATTCAAAATTTGAGCACGCTCTGAACGTGGCTTTGCGTCCAGATTCGTTCAGCCTACGACATCTGTTTACTACATGTTATTACCCCCCCCCCCCCCCCCTTAAATAGCAGAGTGCGCTGAGAGGTTCTGTAAGGTTATTTCCTTTTACTAGTAGGCTACTAGCAAGAATTAAATGACTCAAGAAACCTCTTCCTTTACCATTTCTCAGAGAGGAGAGTCGCCATGTTTCATATGACTTCATAATTGGAAACATTCTTTTTGTTTCTTTTGGTAGAGGTTTTACCTGGCTCGCAATTGATAGCGGTACAATATTCTTCTAGTTGTGACCTTTTTCACCTTTATATCTCATGCGCAACTACGGTTTTGGATACCAACAAAAATAAAGATAAGCTTCCTTTGTTCTCTGAATTTTAAAAAATGCCATTGAAAGCAAGGAGATATAGTGGCGTCGGTAGCCTAGTGGTTGGGCTACAGGACCCGTAATTGTGAGATTGCGGGTTTTGTTGTCCAATGTTGTGTCTGTGGGAAGTTTATTTTACACAAATATTTCTATTTGGCTTGGTGTACTGGAGATGGCAAAGAATAACATCTATGGACAACATAAGACTGGCCACGCGGAAAATTGCATTTTTGAAATAGGAAAATTGCAAGGTAAACTGCCTAAAAATTGCAAAAAATTGCAACCTACCCATCCCTGGTGCATTAATACGGGCGTAACATTTTTCGTTTAAAAAAACATGACAATTTGAGTACCGGTAGCATAAAAGCAGAACGGCCTTTAAAAAAATCATAACCCACAATACACATTTTATTAACAAGATTCATTTGGAATCTGAATACCGCACACTTACAACGTTCCATTCTTGTCTGTCTTTCTTATCCCTATTCGTTTGTGGCACTACCGGCGTGCACGCAGCATCAGCAGCAACAACAACAACAGTAACAATGGCGACAACAACAACAACAACTCCACCACCACCACCACCAGTAACAGTTACAACAACAACAATCCTCCACCCCCAAAGAAACCCACCCTCCCAAAATATGAACAAAAGTAAAACCCAACAAACAGTGGTATGTCGTGATGGCGATACAGTAACGCTGCCGCAGAGTTTAGGCTCGGGGAACGCGCACACACACACACACACACACACACACACACACACACACACACACACACACACACACACGCCCACGTACACGCACACGCACATTACGCACATACACACTCACACACGCACACGAAGACACACATATGCAAACACACACGCACACTCATACTTACGCGCACACACACGCACATACACACACACACACATATTCACACATATTCACACACACATACACACGTGTACACTCACATTCACACACACATACTGTACACACACAATCTCACGCACATACATAGAGATACACTCTTCCAAATTTATAAGACATTCTAATTAGAAGTACAATAACAAGTAAAAAAACGTCCTAGTCGGAACAGTGTAGATGCACCCCAGTCTTTACTGGCACAAACTAATGATCTCCTTTTAAAACGATCCAAATGTTTCCAAAAGAACACAAGCAGCACATGCATACTGATTACGACACACCACCAGTTGTTACAAAACATCATCATCCAATGTCAGATCTGAGGCAGACATCGATGCTCATGGACCTCCATTCATTCCTTTGCTCGGATGTGCACTTAAAAAAAGCTACGTTTCCCTGATGTTTCCTCGTTACCTATTTGTTTAGGTTCCCTAAATTGGTTGCTCTGGGTGTTTGCCTTCAATTTTGCCAGTGAGAGCTAGATGTTTCCTAAATACTAATTTAATTCATTGTTCCCTGATAAAAAAAAGAAAATATAAAAAGAAAGAAAACGTTAATAACAGAAACATACAATAAAAACGTATTATTATTTATGTAGTGAGAATGCCGATTATTGCCAATTAAATCTGATCAGAAATAGATGCGATTTAAGCTCTTTAAATTTGGATATTTATCTTGGTTAGACATGTCACCAAATGAAAGGATGTACAAACACATACAATCCCCCCCCCACCCCCCCCAAAAAAAAAAACAACAACAACCAACAAACAACAACAACAACAAACAACCAACATTTAAAAAACTGATACCCAAGACGGAGCTCAAAAGCTTTTTTATGATGAGTTTTATTCAAACGCGCGCAGTGTTTCCCCACATCTGTAGCACTTTGTCAAGTCAATATTCATTGGAAATACACGTCATCTTGATCAAGCTGAAGTTGAACAAAAACTAGTTGATATATTATTATAATTTTTATTCTTCGTGCATACTATAGAATACATTTTACACCACAAAATCATAAAAGACAGCAGGCTGCACATGTTTCCGGGATTCTTTTCGTAATTCCTTTTCAAAATACTACAATAAAATCTTTCTGCAACATTATTGAAACATTTTAATATCTTTACAAATTCATGCTCTGAAGGTCTCGTTTATATTTTTTCCGGACAACTTTCCTTCTGTCTGAAATCTGGGGCACTCTATGTACAAATGTACTGAAATTCATCCTCTACCACGATCTCCTGTCATTACACTTTCGGTCTTCCAAATACATGTTGATCTACTTTTTTATTTCCCCAGCACCAATTTTCAACCCTCAACATGTGCGAACTTCGAACTAATAATAATAATAATAATAGTAATAATAATAATAATAATATAATATTATCTTTCCACAGCGCTAAGCGCTCTGACCAGGCCAAAGACAAACAAGAATCAGCTAATCTTCAAAGTGAAGAACTCGAAGCCCCTGCATTTTTTATTGTGATGACAATATGACAGCTCCAATAATGGGTCCGTACGCAACAAATAACTTTTTGAATGTATATTATGTAATACGCAGAAGGACTTTAAGAATAACGAATAGTCTGAATTTGGAACGAGGTGAATCGGTCGTTACAATTTAAATGTAAAAACAGGTTTAGCACCAAGGGCTGTGTTGATGCCGCATTGGTAGATTAAATCTACTTATAAGCAAGGGTAATTTTGCATCGTGTGGAGTGTGGATATATTGATTCGATACACTGGTGAAAATACAGAAACGCGTTAAGATTATGTTTTGAATATGGATTACGTAAGATACATAACAACTTTTAACAAGAACAACAAAGCACATTTACACACATACTTCTTACTCATTTTGAGACCAAAAGATTGAACTTTGAATTTTGCTTGATTTTTTGTCTGACATGTGCTTTAAACGATACATTCGATCTTAAGTGGGGAAGCATCTTATTCGATTTGTCTAATGTATTTTATCAACTAAATTGGACTATAATACGAACCAGGTTTTTTCAGTGAAGCAAGTTCAAGATTCGTTTCCTCGAAAACAAAAGTGCTCTGTCTTCTTGGGGCTGGGTAGCATCGATTTCAAATAAGATGAAAAAAGTATAGGCTTTTGTTTTATCTAAAACAGAACGGCCACCGAAATTTCTTATCAAAAGAAGCCCCACCCACCCTAGGCTCTCTGTCAGCTCAGTTGGTAACACGCTGGGCTACGTTGCGAGTGACCGTGGTTCGAATATTTAAAAAAGGCGTTTTTGAACTTGCTTAGTTTGGGGAGTTTACAGGGCCCTCTGCCATTCTGGAGATTTACTTCAAACCGTAAGTCCCGTCTCTTCAATAAATGTACAGCGTTGAAAATAGAGGCCTTACAATTTTACCAAACTAAAGAACCCTCATGTTTCATGACTATACAAAGTCTGCCCATGTTGTCGTAGAAAGATACATGTAGATACATACACAAGAAGATATATTAGTGTGAGAGAGAGAGAGAGAGAGAGAGAGAGAGAGAGAGAGAGAGAGAGAGAGAGAGAGAATGATAACTAAGAGAGAGAGAGAGAGAGAGAGAGAGAGAGAGAGAGAGATTGTTTAAGTTTGTACACCTGCATTCTAGCAATTTTTGTTGGTAATGTTGCGAGATATTTATATTTTAAGTCGTAGAAACTGGGGAAAGAACATTGCTTTTTTTCTCGTCTTGTGTGGCATGGGAATAAAGGTAGGTCCCAATAATGTCATTGATTTTCACCGTCTGTCTGTTCGGATATATACTTGTGAGGCACCTTGGTGATATCAGGTGCTAGTCAAAATAATGAAATCGAAGAAATCGGCATTTTCCCACTCGTTAGGCATTTTTATCGATTTTTTTTCTTGGCTCAGCGCATGTTATGTCCATAATATAAACAAATTTCTGTGTGGATTTTAATGAAAAACGTTGATCAAAGGGCTCAATCTTTGGAAATCACTTAACTTTGGCGCTAATTTTCCTCTGACACCAGGCGAACCTCACCTCTTTAATCCGAAATAGCTCTAGATCTACTTCTATTCAATAAAGACAAATATCAAGATTTTAGAGGGTATTGATAACTCTATATGCCCCCCCC